TCCCACAATAAGCCCACCCCCAACTTTTAGGTACTCTGGTGGCAGAATAATTACCAATGCCGTATCATTATCTTGTAATAAGTCAATCCCCTACTTTTAGATACTCTGATACCAGAGGTCACAGCAATGTTATTTTGGAATATATAGCTTTTGGGGTAAAACTAAGATAATAGATTGTCATTTTAGAACACTGACTGTGAAAATACACACTTCTAAACTGTTGAATATGTCGAGTTCATTCTAAGTCTACTGATCAAAAGATCTTAGAATGAATTTCAATAAAAATATTGCACTGTAAACCAAGACCGGTCATTTAAATTCAATGCACAAAAACAACTAAGAATGACAACAAAGCAAAGAAATATTAAACTGTTATTGCACTCTTCCTAAAACATGCATTACATTCAAGACAAAATTAAGTTATTGGTTTGAATTCTTCAAAATTTTGTAAATATCGGTAACAAATTATATTTGGTTTATGTTGAGGTAAAAATGTAAAATTCAACATTATACTGAATTTGATATCTGCGCAATACCTACAGTGGTATTAACTTGAAACAACAAACATCTATTTTTTTATTTAGAAAAAAAATTTAATGTGGGCAAAGGGGCAAGTAGTTGAAGTAGTTTATTAGAGGTGTCAACCAGTCTCACCTAAACAAAGGGCTTCCTAAAGACAAAATTATAGGATATTTTTACCTCTAAAATACTAAAAATGTGGGCACATAGGATAGCTCTACACATAATATACATATACTATGGCATCTGTAGGGACGAAACCACTCAGCACGTCCAATAAATTACAAGATCTATGTGCTCCATCACATGATTCAATAATAAATTAGACAGGTAGCATTTAGATGGATTGTCAATGGAAGAATATATTGTAATTACACAACAGATCAAAATCATTGTGCAGAATAAATATTCAGACACAACACAAATTCTCGTCTCATCAATATTTTTTGAAAACTTTGTAAATTAATTTTCATTAATTTCATAAATACATGTAAACGATTAGACACATTTGAACAATATTTCTCTATCTCATTCAAAAAAGAGGATTTTTACAAATACAGGATTTTCAGTAATTTTCAAGTTACAATATATGTAAATAGTTTAACACTGCTGAACTATAGTCATCTATCTTGTTCAAAAATAAAAGGAAGAAACAAAGTCTATGGAAGCACAAGATAATAATGTTGGAAAATATCAGATTTGATAAAAAATCTCCTCTATTTCTCAACAATATAAAAAAAACACATGATAAATGATTTCCCGCCCACATGTTAGAATTTTAATCGCTGAACTGATAATATATTTGGTACTGCTATATTATTCTACGACAAAATAGTTAAAGACACTGAAAGGCATTGGAAATGGGACTTGGCACAAATTACTTACAGTCCATGTATATGGATCTTGGGTTGAGAATTTGTCTATGTCCCTGTGGTTTAAAGTAACTGAAATACAGTGATAACTAGTGAAGACAAAAATTGGGACTCTTAACTTATGTTTGTCTTTACAGACTGATGCTGATTGAATCTACATGATCTGATTAATATTTACATAAAGTTTTAACATCATTGATAATTAGATGACAAATGCTACCTCTCTTTGGCAAACTTTTGTCAAGGCAATATTAAGATTTTTGTAAGATGTATATGTAGGACTTCAGCAACAATGACAATAATAAATAATCGTTTTTGATATTATCAGTCATTTCATATTTTATATCTCTATAATTGTTACAAAAACAGTTTCTAAAAATCATCAATGAAAATAGACATTACAGTGTTGTCCTTATTATATCTTTTATGTTCATTTCTAATCTAATTTACTGAAATCTTATTTTTAAAAAAAAGAAATTCATAGGCGTGTAGTTAAGGGATTTTAAAGTTTACACAGACAGCAATAAATGGAGGGTACAGGGGATCAGGGGGTTGAACCCTCCCCATTCCTCCTATCTATTCTAGTTCTTGAGGCAAAGCTCCTGCAATATCTTCATGAATGTAATTTTAATTTTTATTTCAACTGTACACCTTATCATCTGACTTTAAATCACATTTGATTTTTATGGTACTCATACTTTTTTAGAAACTGATCCAAATGCTACTTCTGAATTTTGATGTGGACTCCAATCCAAAATTGACACCTTAGTCTGGCTCCTTGATCACCTGAGACAAAAATTTTGAAAGAAACCACTTAAAGAAAGATAACAATTCAACAATGGCTTCTAAATATACAACAAATTAAACTTTGGTTACATAAATAGCACCAATGGTAGGTTTACACACATTGTAACATGTCAACAGTACTTGTATAGAATACTGCGTGGATAATGAAGGTCAATAAATCACAAGACATTACATTATACAAAAAATCAATATCGAGCATAAAAGAATACTTATGTATCAACACAAAAGAATCAACATGACAAATAAAGAGAATTATCACAAAATCTTTCAAGACATGTATTGACTATCTTTAGACTTGAATACATAAGCCATCATCAAAGTCATTGGCTGAAAATAGCCAATACGGACTTTCAAAACATTAGCAATACTTTAGTTAATTTGCCTTGTTATTATTTCATGTTTATACAACTAAGTGACACACAATTCAAATTTTCATCAAATCGAACAATATATATATATATATATATACATGACGTAGTCCTATCAATTTTCTATGTGGTTCTATGAGAAATAGACACCAAGTATAATTTATGTCCTGTACTCTAAACACCAAACAAGTAACAGCTATTGTATTCTAATATACCCAAGAATGATTATAATTTTAATTTGCCTGTAAAGGGGAAATTTTCACCAGTCAACTTTCCTTAAATTCATCCTTTTGCCAAGATGGTAAAAATAAATGGTGGGTTAATATTTGTCATCATAGCCGAGGTATATTTTTTATGTATAGATTATTTCCAATTAAGAACAACATGACAAGTCATTTTGAGACAACCCTTAATTACACTTCTGTGATTACAGCCCTCATACAAGCCTAGCAAGAGTGGGAATGAAAAAATTAAAAATCAATTACCTGAATTACCAACAATTCTTAGATAAACAAAAATTCATAGAATTATACCAAAACACACAGAATAAAGTGTCACAATTCATAAAACAACAATACACAGTACAGTCTGAATAAATCTCTGTCCAATCCAGAGCACTGGCACAAGAATTCATAGCCATTGGACAACCTAAAATTCTGAAAAATCTGCAACTTCTGGTGAAAATTCTGTGGTCTAATATGTGTTTGATTCAGACAGAGTTTTCTGTGGTAGAATGTGGTTAAGTCGTTGATAGAGATAGTATCATCCAATCATTGGAATTCGCACTATATTTCCCATGTCATCTGTAAATATCCGGACCCTGTCTGTCCTGTAGTCCATGGTTACCATGGAACCATCTGGTAAGACCTGTATCTGAAACATTGATGAATTATTTTTGACATTTCTACCTGTTATACATTACCAGTATCTACAATCACAAGGACTAAGGATTGTTTGACCAAGAATTCTAGGAAACGGATGTTATATATGTAACCCTGGTAAATATCAGCCACAACTATAGTGCTCAGCTCCTCTTTAGTTAAATCAGTTATGACTAGTAAGCCAGAGATCCAAGGTTCAAATCCCAGTGAAAGCATTGATATTGTTAATGACACCTACTACCAGTATCTATAGTACTTACTGAAATGTTTGGGTACTCTTTGCGAATAATGGCTTCAGCTTCTTGCCATGTCTGAAGGAAAAACAATATGTTGACATGAGTTAATATTAATCCTCATTCATTTGTACAAAGAAGACTGACCAATATCACAAACACATTCTTCAAGTTGGTAATTATCATATGTGAATAGATTTTTTTCCTTATTGATAAATGATAATAATATGCCAAACAAGAAAAGCCAAAGTACAACACAAATGACGAAGTACATTTTTTCATTTGTATCAATGTGCCTTTATAAGCCAATCTAGACTAACCAACCGGTATTAATAAAAGGCAATAACTCTTTTAAAATCTGTTTGAAAGAATGTTAAGGAAAACACAATTCATTTTCTAAAACAGATCTAGGCCGTAAATGTAGTCATTTCACTTCATTTTACATATATCAATATAATTTTCCCGTAAAATGAAGAGGAATCGATGGTGACATCAATTTCTTTGCTTTTCCCTTAGTCCAAATTTGAGGAGTCTACCAAATTCATCATTTCCAACGGTTGCATGTATTATCAGAAACAACAAATGCTTAGATGTTCTTTATTAAAAAATCGATTTAAAATATTTGACAAGCCTCCAATTTCATATTATACAAAATTTACACTATAAATTGCTTCACATGTCATAAACCAATATGTAAAAAATAAATTCACATATCACAGGCGTTCAGAGTTTGCAATCGTATGTTAAATATATCTATCATACGTATTTCTGGTGTGAATACTACAACAAACCTTTCCAACACAGTCCGGCCAATTCGTTGTTGACATTTTAATAAAGGATTCACCCAAGAGTTATCTCCACCTGTTTACTTGACACTGATACAATCTTCAGCAAGTAGCCTGGTCAGTTTATATCAATCCAGTTATTTGTCATAAAAGTTTGTCTCTGGATCAGTCGTAAAAGCTGTATGAAAATTACAGAACACTTAACTGTACCGAACTAATTCCCGATACAATGTTTTCTTATCGAAGTCCACTCGTGATACAAACCGGAAGTTTCAATAGGTAGCATAGGTGGCGCAACTAACTTCCAAACGTCAACGTGTGTGCCTAATGAATAATTCGAGCAGAGGTTTGTCCCAATGTGCAGACGTGAGTACATTCCAGCAAGATATTAATACGTATTTTTGTAAAGTTAATTATTCATGACACTTTGATAAGATAATAAATGTATATAAAAACTATAATGTTTACTTTCAATGGAAAATAAACTTCAGTTTTTTACTTTCCTTTTCAGGTAATCTGGTGACACCGGTGTCTTTAACATTTTGTCAAAAACGTGGAGGTTTTGACAGTATGTTTCAGAATACAGCGACCAATTCAATAACCGTTGAATAATTCTTAATCTATTGACTGGGATAACAAGTTCGTGAATTAAAAGTGGACTGAAACAGAATAGACTGCCTTCTAGTGTTCAACACCAAAGAGGAAAAAAAATCCGGGAAGGATGGGGTGTGTACTTAAACATCTGACCAGTGCGACATTGCTGCTGATTCTATTTTCCGCCGTTGTATTGAAAGAAGTATCGGGTGATGATGATAACCTATTGAATGTGGCAGCGGCAGGGAAATCAGTGAGCAAGGCTTCATCAGAATCTAAAGAGAAGGTGAATGGATGAGTCTAGTAGAGAAATGTTGTAGTTACAGAATTAAGGATTCAAGTAATGTGTGTGATTCGGTTTTTTGGCCAGCATGCATGTTCTTGACTACTGAGATGTAGTCTAACAGAATGTCTGTTTTCTGAAGAAGAAAATTTAAGTCTCCATTTTCCCTCTTTAGACGACAACATTAATTAAGAATTTAATTGAATTAATCTCAGGAAATGTATTTTGTTATATGGCTAAGGCTGGGACGACACTATCCAAAATAGTAAGCTTTCCAAAATGGAACACTTCTCAAATATTTGAAGCAGAATTGTTATTTTGAAATACAAGTGAATTTTAATACTTTACTTTTGGTCTTTCGAAAGACCAAAAGTAAAGTATTGAAAATAACTGATATATCACTGATGTCTTCTATGTTGTATATCATCTCAATTTAGAAAAAAAAATATGATAAAAATTTCAGGAAACGATGTCATGCAAAAACAAATATTCTGTCATATTTTGGAACAAGAAAAGTGTTACTGAGATAAATATTTTTGATAGACAAGTAACAAACGTCAACATGTGAATGAAAAACTTTTACAAAGCAATATATTTTACAAATGTATTATTTCTACAAACACTGAATGTAATTAGAAGTATTCCATTTAGTTACCCTGTTGAAGGATGTTGTCGATTTATACTGGCTCACCCTTAAACACAGATTCAAAAACTGTTAATTGTTTCCCATATTTTTTTCCAAGAACACTCCAACACATAAAATCAAACAAAAAACTACTAAAGTCTTTGTCGGTTACTGAATGAGTCTATTGGTTTGTTAGATCCAATTCTAGTATTTAATTCCAACAAGTTGGGCACACTTTCCTAAAGCCACAATGGCTCTGCATTTGAGTGACAGTTAATTACTGCTTTGATTAAATAAGCTATTTAAATGTGGGGTAATTTGAACCAGACACCAATAAAGTTTTCTTAAACATATGCACCTTAAAGGGCGACATTTTTTCCCTTAGTAATATGATCATGGCACTGTTTATTAACATTTGTGTAAGAACTATTTATTTCTGTTATCTAACTTTAAATATTAAAACGGGGATTTAAATCGCAACTTTGCTTGTCATTGACTACATGCACACAATATATAGTCATTAGGAGCATTTAAAGTGCCTGTGACATAAGTGAACATGAATTTACCTGTGTTCTGTTTTTAGCTACGCTATAGGTAACTTTTACCAAAAACAGACAAGACAGTTGAATTATTGACTTTTTGTGTAAAAATGTACAATGCTGCTATGGTTATTATGTCATATCATTTTTTTTTTAGCCAACCATCATCAGATGGTGGGGTATTCAAATTGCCCTGCCGTCCGTGGTCCGTCAGTCCTTCCGTCCCTAAACAATTCTTGTTACCGCTATTTCTTGGTCCCTAGTTGTGCATTGTACCTTTTTTTGAACTGATTCGCATTCAAGATGGCCGACAGGTGGCCATATTGGATTTTGGAAGTAAAAGTTTGTTACCGCTATTTCTGGAAAAGTACTGGATGGATCTTTCTCAAATTTCATATGCAGGTTCCCCTTGGTCCCTAGTTGTGCATTGTACCTTTTTTGGGCTGATTCGAATTCAAGAAGGCCGACAAGTGGCCATCTTGGATTTTGGAAGTAAAAGTTTGTTACCGCTATTTCTGAGAAAGTACTTGATGGATCTTTCTCAAATTTCATATGCAGTTTCCCCTTGGTCCCTAGTTGTGCATTGTACCTTTTTTGGACTGATTCAAATTCACGATGGCCGACAGGCAGCCGTCTTGGATTTTGGAAGTAAAAGATTGTTACTGCTATTTCTGAGAAAGTACTGGATGGATCTTTATCAAGTTTCATATGCAGTTTCCCCTTGGTCCCTAGTTGTGCATTGTACCTTTTTTGGACTGATTCGAATTCAAGATGGCCGACAGATGGCCATCTTGGATTTTGGATGTAAAAGTTTGTTACTGCTATTTCTTGGAAAGTACTGGATGGATCTTCCTCAAATTCCATATGCAGTTTCCCCTTGGTCCCTAGTTGTGCATTATTCCTTTTTGGACTGATCCGAAGTCAAGATGACTGACAGGCAGCCATCTTGGATTTTGAGAGTAAAATCTTGTTACTGCTATATCTGAGGAAGTACTGGATGGATCCTTCTGATATTTCATAGATATTGGTTTCCCTTGGTCCCTAGTTGTGCATTGTACCTTTTTTGGACTGATTTGAAATCAAGGTGGCCCACAGGCAGCATTCTTGGATGTCGACAGTAATACAGCACAAGCATATTGTCCATTATCCACCTGTAACTGACTGCTATCTAATAATACTTTGGTATCTTTTTCAAATGATATTTGCTAATAGGTGCTTAATAAATATATCTTGTGCTATCATTGAGTACATTCAATGAAGACCAGTTCATGAACATTTACAACACCTGTAACAAACAAAAAAAATTAACAAATCTTCAAGAACTGAAAACAGATCCTCAAATGGACGCCAAGATCCCTCTGTGATCTCTTGTTGCTCTTGTTTTTGAACAAATTGTCAGTAAATTTATTTGTTTATAATTTGTAACTTGTCCACACAAACAAGAGAAACCAACCAAAAATATACCTTGCTTTTATATCAAATCTGTTTGTTTACAAGGTCTTCTATAGCTGAGTCTATGAATAAATGCATTTCTAAGGCTTGTAGTTTTTAGCTCACCTGGCCCAAAGGGCCATGTGAACTTATGCCATAGCACGGCGTCCATCGTCCTTCCGTCTGGCGTCCTTCAACTTTTCTTTTAAACAACAATTCTTCTGAAATACCGAAAGTTATCATATTTGGCTGGAAGGTTCCTTTGATGAAGCCAAACAAAGTTTGCAAAAAGAAACGACTTTGACCCATATTCAAGGTCACAGAGGTAAAATGTGTTAAAACCTTTAAACGACTTCTTCCAAAATACCGGAAGGCCTAGAATCATTGTATATGGCTGGAAGGTTCCTTTGATGAAGCCAAACAAAGTTTGCAAAAAAGAAATGACCTTGACCCATATTCAAGGTCACAGAGGTCAAATATGTTAAAACCTTGAAACGACTTCTTTCAAAATACCGGAAGGCCTAGGATCATTATATTAGGCTACTGTGTTCCTCTTATGGTGTCCTACAAAGTTTGCAAAAAGAAATGACCTTGACCCATATTCAGGGTCACTTGAGATAAATGTGTTAAAATGTTTTAAACAATTTCTTCTGCAATATCGAAAAGCCTAGAAACATTATATTTGGCCAGTATGTTCCTTTTATGAAGTCCAAGAAAGTAAAAGAAATGACCTTGACCCATAGTCAAGGTCACAGGAGTCAAATGTGTTAAATGTGGAACATATGCACAGATATAGTAATGTTGGTCATAAAGATCCAGGTGAGCAATACAGGCTCTCTGGGCTTCTTGTTTCAATAAGCACAATCCTTATGTTGACCAGTATGAACATTGCAATAGACAAAATACTGAAGTAGATCTGAATATTTATGTCCTTATTTCAATGTACAAAGTCACAGGTACTGCATATACTGAAAAAATGATGTAGTGACATGTTGTGATACAGGGGCAGCCAATATTGATATTGGAAAGAATTGTCCAATCCCTTCTGCTTTGAGCAAAGAAAAGCAAGAAAGATAAAATTATATTTTGATCATCTACCTGTATATGAAGCAAAGTGGTGCAATTTTTTTTATCAATATCAGATTCACCCTAGTAAAGAGATCTCAACTGAATTTGACCTGAAATATGCACGCTTAAAGGGCCGAAGATACTCAATATTATACATACAGAAATCAGGAGGAGCAGTCTTTAAACGTCTTTTCTGATTTATGGCCAGGAGGTCACAATAAATGTAGGCAGAGACCGATCAAAAATTATACTCCTTGCCATGTAGAGGAGTTTTGACTAGATTCTATTGTAAATGTGGTTTGTTAATCAGATGTGGACATGGGTATATCAATAATTCAACACTGGTTTGGGCCAAATTGGCAAAATTGCTAGGTTGTTATTGGCTAGAACCTGTCAAGGTGAGGAGGTGATTGGCTGACCAAACAAATGCCCTCCTCAGTCAAGAGGAATCCCTGGGGTCCCATTGCCTTAAAGTTGACATGCCATGATTGGAACACTGACCCTGTAGCCAGTTTTTCCAACTTATATTAATCACTCTTGTTGGCTTGGATGGAAGCATGCAAGGGGTCTTAGTGTGGAGGAAACCGGAGTACCCGGAGAAAACCCACGTGGTCAGGCAGGTGACCCCATACCTTTTCACATCCATTCCGGGAATCGAACCCCGGACAGCTAGGTGAAAGGCGAGAGCATTACCACTGCGCCATCCAACCACCCAGGTTGACCGACCTTATAGATGTTTGGACAAACTGACAAGAATGGCACTCCATTCCCATCTCATCAATACTGTATTAATTACTTAATACCTACCTTGCATTGGGGTAGCATCCTTAATATGTTAACAATGCTTCAGTTTTGTATAAAAGAAAGGCAAGACTCCATTAGGAACAGAGAACAACTTCATCTTGTTAATAATCTTCTAATTTCTAAAGTAAAATGTACTTGTAAATTCTTTTGCCAAAATATAGTTTGGAGGCAGCATCGTTGTGTTTTACAAGCCCTTTCCTCTAACAACTGGGGACTTGGTAACAGTCGTAACATGTAAATTTTGTTTATAACCTGTTATATCATATACAGGTTGGTTTTATTTCATGAAGCAGTAAAAGTTTTTGCATGAAAAATGATGCAATTATAATTTCCTCGCTAATTTGATAGTCCACATTTGGAGTCCAGCAGACCAGAAGGAAATGGACAGATTTCCTTGCTTTTTACTATCAATTCCATTTTTAAATTCCAGTGAGATATTTATGTATTTGGGCATATTAGGATATGACTGTGTTGGAGTGTCCTTGTGATCTCTTTGATGAGCTTTGCCGTTATGAAGTATAAATTTCTTTTATTTCATCCTTTTCATTGGACAATTATCATTACATTTTTTCCGATAGATTTATATATTTTGATACAATTGTTTAAATTTGTACATGATTTGTTTTTCAGGTTGATAATGAAAGTTCAGATGAAGGATCATTGCTTAGCTCTCTAAGGAAAGCTAAAGGAAATGTGGGATTTCTTCATGCATTTGTGGCATCTTTGTCTGTGATAATTGTGTCAGAACTTGGAGACAAGACTTTCTTTATTGCCGCAATTATGGCTATGCGACATTCTAGGGTGACTGTCTTTTCTGGTGCTATAGGAGCACTTGGACTTATGACCATTCTATCAGGTAAAATAATTAAATACATTTAAACTGAGATGAGTTACCTGTCCAACAATTTACATATGGAACTCATGAATCCTTAATATTTATCACTTTGCAAACTGAATAATTTTGGTAAGATATTTAGTCAGGATAAAATTTTATATTACAAGACCTATTTACTTTATTTCTGTTGCTAAATATGTATACTTGAGCTGAATATTATCTACATGTATGTACTAAATTTCTGTGTGACTTGTTTGTTGTTTCAGCTGTCCTGGGATATGCTACAACCATCATTCCTAAGTATGTTACTCACTATGCTTCATCGTTATTGTTTGCTGTATTTGGAATCAAAATGCTTAAAGAAGGTAAACATTCTTACATCAAATCTTTTTGACCAACATAAGTAAATGTGCTGCCTGATATAATCAGAATACATTACGAAAATGAAAGTTATATATCAGAATATTTTTATTTTTTATGTCACGCATCAAGACAGAAATCTCAACACACATTTGTTAACTTATATTAGTAAAGGTATTATTATTTTTTAAATACTTATTTTATTTCTCAAGGCTATGAAATGTCTCCTGATGAAGGACAGCATGAATATGAAGAAGTTCAAGCTGATCTTAAAAAGCGTGATGATGAGGTGAGTCTAGTAAACATTCCAGCTAGGATGTCTATCTTTTATCTCTTTATCAATATACAGTGTACACTCTGATAAGGATTTTTAAATTGGTCTATTTAAAATCCATTAACAACCGTTTTTGATGTTTCCTCACAAGTTATTATCAGAAGGCTTTAAAATAATTGGTGACAACCGTGACATTAGCTATGTTATGTTTTCTTTAGAAAATTGTCAGTGTTGAGGAAACACAAGATGATTGTCCTTTATGTAAGTTTATGGTGGCACTCAGCTTCAGTGATTGGTCCTAGAAGGATGAAACAGCAGTATGATTCATTTGGCTCTACTATATCTAATTCAAAATCAATGTTGAGTTGCTCCTCACTTGCCTGTCTTTCGTACAACCTTGGATGATGTCACCACCAAGACAGAATTTGTGTTTAATTTTTACTTAAAAATCAAACTAGTATTCATGGATTTAGATTCGCGTAAGATGTTGTAACTTGTTTTAGGATTCAATTTCCATTATGTTTTTTTTTCTTTTGATAATGTAATGAAATGAAGTTTCTATTGGATTACAGCGACTCAAACAGAGCTCTGGAGTACAGGATATAGAGACTGGTATAATAAGAACACCGGGACGAAACCTTTGTTATGGAGTATTAGGAACAATTTTTCTGCAAGCCTTCACATTAACTTTTTTGGCCGAATGGGGGGATCGGTCACAAATTGCTACCATCATTTTAGGTGCAAGGGAGGTCAGTATTTTCATTGTGGCGTGACAATTACATGAGTTTAAATGATATTACATATCTATGTGATTTTATTTCATATTGTATGAATTTTAAGCTGAAGCTTATAGTATCTAAATGGATGAATATATGTGCACTAAGGTTTTACAAATATCAATAGAAGAGCTCTGCTGTTTCTTTTTAAAAACATTTTTGTGAATTTAAAACAAAACATGTAAAGCCTTTGTTTGAGAATATGTGTCTCATTATTTACTTTATAATGAGAAAACATCTATTTTACCATTTGATATTACAGAATGTGTTGGGCGTCATCATAGGTGGTATTTTAGGTCACGCACTATGTACAGGTCTAGCTGTCTTAGGAGGCAGAATAGTTGCTCAGAAAATTTCTGTCCGAACAGGTGAGTTTCAAACACTGTTTAGTTTTTCTCACTGATCAGGTATTATGTAAACAGGCATTGTGTTTTACCATTACACATGAGCACTTACCCATATGATTACATAAATTAACTTTTGGTAAAAAGTAACAATGATTATCATTGATCATATTTAATAAAATCCATTTGCATGATTTTTTTGTCTCTTGAAATTAAAGATAACTGTGTTGGACCTCATGTAATACAGATATTATTTTGTCCAGATTATGCCTTGAACATCATTATTCCACTAAAGCTGGATATTTCATCAGATCTAATCTGGATCTTACCTAAACTGATCAAAATATTTGAATTCTGTCATTTCATCAAAATAATAAAAAGAAAATTTGGTCATTTTTAGTCTCTTACTGGATTAAGAGGGGCTATATTTTCTCTCTGTTCATTCATCTTTCAGCTATCTTGTCAGGGCTCTATCTTCTACGCTACTTGAACTTCATACTTGGGGTGTGGGTTCTTCACCTAAGTCAGTGATCTGTTAGGGAATGTAATTTACTAAGTTTTCTGTAAGGATAGATGGGACTTCTTTCAATGACTTTAACTATGGATATTTAGCTTTCTTTTGTTTCTGTATCCAAATGAAATGTGCATGTGTTTTGCCTGTTTTCAGTGACTCTGACCGGCGGAGTAGTATTCCTGGTGTTTGCTTTGTCAGCGTTTGCTGTTGGACCATACTGACGAAGAATCAGCTTTTTTAGTAGTAGGACTGTATAAGAGAATTTTTTATTTATTTTTATATCAGTATGCTGTACTTTGTTGTTGGCGACAAAGAAATGTGATATGAAAATACTCTTTACTGTTTCTGATGATGTAAAAACAAAATGAGAATGCCTCTAATCTTTCTGTTTTGGATAATTCCTCTGAATATTAATTACATAAAATTAGTTTAACATTTTTTCTGCCAAAAAAACAATACTTTTTTTCATTTTTGTAATGAAGAGTCCAGAAAATAGTATTAGAAAAATATCCATACAAAATTGTAGTAGGCTTTTTTTGTGGTGATACTATTTTGACATGACAACCAGTAACCTTGTCAGTCAGAGTTGTGTCACACACCACATTCCTAACTAAATACAATGTATTTGTTTTTAGTGTTTGAAATACTTGTACTTTGATAATTAAGTTGTTTCTTCCTGACATTTTTTCTGGTACTTAATTATCAAATTAATTGTCAAACATGCTTGGTGTAAAATGTTAAATGTATGGTGCTTCCTGTGCCATATTAAAACCATAAACTCTTTGAACTGGTCTTTATCAAAAGATTTTAGCATGACTTTGATCTCAGAAAATATAAGCTTGGGTAAAATTTGTTAACAAATAGAAAGAAGAATTATGTTATTGCAATGACAACCAGTTGACATTTCATTGTCATTTTGAAGTGCAACTAAATATGATGTACTTATATAGGAAAATGGTTTAAGTAATGTTTATGTACCATCTTATGTGTGTCCCATTCCCTCCAAAATGTCACTTTGTAACAAAAATTTTAAGGAAAATGTTCATTCAGAATTCATGGCTGTTACTGAAAATGAACTTACCTATAGATAGCACAGTAAGTGTAAAGTCAAATCACACATCAAATTACAGAAAAACACTGGTAGAAAAACACTGGTAGAAACAATTAATTAGTAAATACAAAAAAATGATCCACTTTATGATCTCTTAATCAGAGACGGGGATGAGCTTATTAGCAGACATCAGATCAGATAAACTCTTAATTTATAGTTATGACTGGATGTTATTAAACAATTCTCAGAGGTTGGCTTGTAGTTTGTTAAATACATGATATAGAATTTAGGATAATTAATACATCAATTATGATGTAAAAACCTGGTCTGATAGATGTAATATGATTTCTGTACAAAATTATTATCTGTATGGTTAATAAGACGTGCTACTTAAGTACTTGATTAGATGAGCTGCGAATTTAGCTTAAAAAGAAATGGTGGGAGGAATGGGGCTTAAAACTAGGGTTGCTGGATTGAATATCAGTGTGTGTTTATGTTGAATTATTTAACTCATAGTTCAGAAGTTAGATATTGAACAATCGATGTATCACTATGTATTACATGTGCTAGGAAGTAGTTGCCAGCCTGTCATCACTGAATATTTTATCAGGTATTGTCACAATGATATTGTCTACCAAATCTCTCCACATTTAAAGTGATGTCAGAGTGCGAGCATTATTGTAGTAAATCAAACACGTAGAAACAATGCAAGAGCAATCCCCAGTTTCAGTCTAAATTTTTAAAACATCATGATTTATCGTGAACATATTTATTCATGGACCAGTCAACAGGCAGATTTGGAAAACAATTTACCTGTCTGACCAATGTTTTTAAGACATTAAGTATTATTATTGAGTATAAGTAAGTATATTTAGTAATATGCAAAAAAAAATCACTTGCCATGACATTATAATGCTTCAAACACTTTAGCTAGGATATCATGGTATCATATACTAGTTCCCTAGCTAGTACTAGCGAGGATATCATGGTATCATATTATATACTAGTTCCCTAGCTAGTACTAGCTAGGATATCATGGTATCATATTATATACTAGTTCCCTAGCTAGTACTAGCGAGGATATCATGGTGATATCATGGTGTATCATATTATATACTAGTTCCCTAGCAGTAGTAGCTTGGATATAGTACATATTATAGCGAGGATATCATGGTATCATATTATATACTAGTTCCCTAGCTAGTACTAGCGAGGATATCATGGTATCATATTATATACTAGTTCCCTAGCTAGTACTAGCGAGGATATCATGGTATCATATTATATACTAGTTCCCTAGCTAGTACTAGCGAGGATATCATGGTATCATATTATATACTAGTTCCCTAGCTAGTACTAGCTAGGATATCATGGTATCATATTATATACTAGTTCCCTAGCTAGTACTAGCGAGGATATCATGGTATCATATTATATACTAGTTCCCTAGCTAGTACTAGCGAGGATATCATGGTATCATATTATATACTAGTTCCCTAGCTAGTACTAGCGAGGATATCATGGTATCATATACTAGAACTTTCACAAGATTTTTGTATAATAAATTATTAAGTGAAATATTTTTATGTAATAGAAGTTATCATCTTGAATGTCATGCATACAAGTAAGTACATTTACTGTATTTTACTGAATATAAGCCCAGGGTCTAGTTCACTGAGGCAAGAGGGGGGAGGAGGGGTATATTTATTGAATATTTCATAAAAAGAAGACACCAGACTACTCCCACCCCCAGAGGGGAGCACCCCCCTCGCGTCGCCCGAAAATTGACATGCGTCGATTGAAACAATGCCCGTAGCCGGGAGTTGTTATGGAGACGTTAAACACTCCAACAACAACAACAACATTAAAAAGAAGTCCTATAAGTATGGGCTGTCATCGATACTCACCCAGGTGTTTATACATACATCATATGATTGAAGTCATTAATTACAAGTGTTGTGCAGAAAAAAGACATAGTTCTTAACTGTCACCTTTACTCAAGTCTCGAATCATTTCGGACAAAATCAATCTGAAATGTTTCTCTGCATTGTGCAAGAAAATAATTTTTTCATCCCACAGATTTTTCTTTTATATCAAATCAATTGTTTGTTATTGGTTAACAGTAAAAGTTTTTAACAAGGATTCAATTAATCTTACAGATTTGATTTGTGATACTGTTATCTGGTTTGACATTTACTATCTAGTCGATACAGATGATGAGAACTGGTTTTAGACCAACATATATGTTGTTCTTTATGTAAACTGTGTAAATTTTTATGCTAACAATGAGGATTATAAGTGAAAAACTGATGTCATTTGTCAGATTATGTAAATGTATGTGATTGTTGGCTGAAGAATTTGATTGTACTTGTACCTATGAGCAAAAATATCAGCCCTATCAAATATCATTGATATTTATGTGTAGGTAAAAAACCACCACCAATGTTTACATGCTGGACTGAAGATAAACTCTTATATTTTGTATCATTTATTTGAAGAAAAAGTTAAATTTCCTTCACATTTGAGTAAGATTTATCTGGTTGTGTAATTGTTTGCCACATTTGGAAGTGATAAGATGTTGAACACCACCATTAGATTTGTCTTCCTTCAGGCTCAAGTCTCTGTACTGAAATATATTGTACCAGTATAGAACACCCACTTGATTTGGTCTTTGTTATTAGATTGTGTGCACCACCAACCAGCTTTCTTGGTTCATCAACTCAGAGTTAATTTCTAGTTCACATCTTTGTCTCATTAAAGATGTCATATTGTCTCCAAATTACTTAATTCATTAGAAACAAATTTCTAATGTTTTTCAGTCGTTTTAAAAGGTGATGTCTGAATATTAATGTTGAAAGGTACTTTTGTTGTGCATGTACGTGATTGTTTAAAATGTGACTTTGACATGTTCGTAGAAAAATCGTTTTAGACCTCATGTAGGGAGACTTCATTAATTTATAACCATACTATAAAGTGAATTTATCATTGCAGTTTATTTTATGTAATGGCAGGCATTGTATGACCTCCGATCATTGGTAGAGGTCTAAAAAATGGCATTTCAGATTTGTAAAATACAGGTGTTTTATTGAAAACTACAACTAACTGGAGATAATCTTGCTTATAGTAGTTTGTTTCTGATTTTGTATCATGTGTAACAATCAATGATCAGTGAAGCATACCAAAACAAATGTCCAGGTTTATTGTATTAATTTCCTGTAAAATGAAAACTTGAGCATCTGGTGTGAAATACTCCTTCTAGATCCTCTCAAAGATGTTGTAAAGGACATGTCAACCTATTAAGTAGTTACTTAAAAAGTATGGATGCATGGATATCATTTGGTAGATTTAGGTTGATAAAGGGAGGTAACTGTAAGACTGGCTGTATAAGTTATAAGTTAGTTATGTGGCTAATCACAGACACAAAGCAAGTATGTTTTACTTTGGCACACAGAGCTATTCCAGAAATATAGGCATAGTTGGGAAAAAAGACATTTTGCAAAATATGCCAGTCATTTTAATGTCGATCCCCACCTACCACAAATTGTATTACAATGGCCTCCCAGCTTTCACTTGTCTACCACCCTCATCTCTGCCACATACATTGCTCACATTTGGACTAGCATTTATCATAGACTAGAAACTGTACATGGATGTCTATTAGAAGTGCTTGCAGTGGGAAATAAAGTGTTTTCACTTTTTAAAGACTTAACTGTAGAGATACGAAACAAACAGTTTTGATGGTACAGTTGTTTCATTTTAAACATAAATCATGTTCCATCTTGGTTTTTTTCCATGTGTTTGTATATAAAAATAAAAAGTACCATTTGGGGTAAGTACATTATAGTCATAAATATGTAAATACTTCCAGGTAACTGTTTATGATTTTAGATCATATATGAAGCCATCTTCTTGTTTGCATACCTCTTCATCCTCCATATTCCAAAAAAACATCTGTACAATTTACATCTCAAAGTTTGGCTGCTGATTGGTTGTAGGGCCGGTCAGCTTTCAGTTGAATGTACCAGGTAGTTTAAATGCCAAATTATTATCCTTTCAGAATTTGTCCTGCTTTGTAGCTGTGTCACACCTGACTAGTTGGCAACCTTAATGGTGTTAAGGTAGTTATCTAATGATTAGCTAGTTGGCTATTAATTGGATTTCTAGATAAGTGCCTTCTGATTGGCTGTGACAAACATTGCTACAAAGCTGTTGATTGGATGTTGATGGTTGTTGATTGACGGAGATTTTGTATAATGGTAGACAAAATGGACAAATATACAAGACCTGTATCTATGGTTACAAAATAACTCATTATGACCAGATTGTAGAGCGTTAATTACTGAAAGAGCATTCTTTCTGCTTTTTGTCAAAGGTAAGATTTTCAAAGGAATGTCAAACTTTGATATTTTACCATACAGGACAATATCCAATGGCAAAGGATATGGACAGCAGATTGTATTTCTTTTGCTTACAATTTCTGAATTATTTTATGTAAGTGATTGAAAGTACTGGGTATTTAGATAAAGGTTAAGATGTTTATAGTTAATGCCTTGGAGCTGGACTCGGGTTATGAGGCTTCAAGTAATAATCTGGAGCTGTGTATATACAAAGTGTATCTGTGTGGGGAACTTCTAGAAATTGTATATCTGTGTCAAAGATTTGTATATTGAAATAGCTGTGTAGCGAGAAAGTCTGACATGTATGTATGAGGGGCAGATGATATTTGGAAAAATGAGAAAACGATTTGTACTATCATATGTGATACATTTCCACTTACATAAATTCATGTCAAAATGTGTTCTGTTCCATCTCATTTCATGTTTATACTGTCTGTTCACCTGGTTATGTAAGATAAAAACAATGTTTTAAAATTATGCAAGTTTGTATACTGAAATATGTGAGAGTATACTACTGCTTAATATTTCAAACTAAAATGTTAAGATTTAAAATGGCTTTTGATTTTTCATTTTTATTATTATTTTTTTAATGTATATTTTTTGCTTTCTTATTAAGAATTTGCGTTAATGAAATTTGTTTCACAGAAGAAGATTTGCATCATTTTTGAACAAAATACATGAACACTTTTATGTATATTTTAAAATGTGTCTGTATATAATTAATTGAAGTATTTAAAGTGTGCTATCAAAATTCTTCAAACAACAAACTGATTTACTAATTAACAAAGATTCCATTCCATTGTAACAAAACTTCTGAAATACCTTGATATGAACTCTGGTCTTGTTTTCTAATGCACAAGGCTTGGACACAAGCTACCTGATGCAATTTTTTTTTTTTTACCTGGTCCGATCTGTCTGATATCTTTCCACGAAATATAGCAACAAGTGATGACCTTATTAAAATAACTTCATATTCAATTCTCTCTTGATGTGTATCTGCAAAGAGAGGTAATCTTAATTAAACTGAATATTTAGGAGACTAGTTGAAAAGCTTTTTTGCAATTTTGACATAATTATGTACAAGAAATTGGATCTTTTACTTGTATATGATACAGGTTGATTTATCTGTTTTGGGCTGACATTCGGTAACTTCTCACCACAAATTAGGGTTTTGCCAAAGTCAGCACTTGGCTTAGATAAGTCAATCTCATAAAGGTAACGGATTCTATCAGTCCAAGCTGTGTACAGTAGCTATTGCTTCTCTGGAAACAACTATTGTACAAAATGTAAGCAATTTTCTTTAGTATCAAAAAAAAGTATAAAAACTTTTCGATCAATACAAGGCAACTGTTTTTTGCTGTTTCAAAGCTACAAACTTTTTTTATCGTGAGTTCACAGATTATATTTTGCAGTGAAATGTGAAAACATGTTTTCAAATGTTTCTTTATTTCATTTAATTGCATTTCTTTTAGGTTCTTTGATTGAAACTATGTAATACCTGTGTGAAGTACAATATTTTCATGATTACATGTCAAAATTGTGTCATATTTGTGTGTGAATCATTTTGTTTAACAAATACAAAATAAACTGGAATATCAACTATCCTTGTTCATTGTTGTCTCTATTTCATCTGTACAACATATGAATCCAACCTAATTGATTGTCACTTACTGATATTTTTCTAAATTTTTAGTTCCTTGGTATTAACAAAATAGGTTGAATGAAATTTTGCTATGTGAAAAATTACCATTACTGATAAGGAAAACCACATAGATATAGACAGGATGTTAAATAAAACCTGCTTAATAACTACTATAATTATGCAAACCACATATCCAGTCCAGATTTGTAACTAAGAAAGGAAAACAGAAGGAGCAAATGATTGCAAAATTTGAATGACAACAGCAGGTGAAATGGAGATAAAGTGCTGTATTGACTACTCTTGAAGGATTCATTTCCACAGTCACATGTAACACACGATGGAATAAAGAGTCCATCATGCTACACAATGGTAGGTGGGAATAGGTCTTAATTCAGTACTGCTACGAGATGTTTAAACTATGCCCCCGGTTTTTATTTCAAATGTAGTTCAAAGGTCAAGGTCACATGGTCAAAACATTTGGTACCACTAGAGAAAAGTCTTGTCACAAGGAACACACATGCCAAATACGAAAGCCCTAGCTCTTACTGTACAATAATTATGAGGAAGGTTAATGTCGACAATAGGCAAACAGGTAGCGCAAGAACAATATGCCCCCGAAGTTTCGATCTGGGGACATAATAGAACAACAAAACATCGGTATTGTTATAGATCCAGAGAGAGAGAGAGGTGGGGCATGAGTAGGTAGAGATTGTACGAATAACGCCCTTAGTGGCAATATCAATGCTTAGGGAGAGGGGTCTATATCATATATCAGACCCATGTAGCAAAAGCAAAGCTCTAACGTGTCACTTCAACCCCCCCCCCCCCCCCCCCCCCCCCCCCCAAAAAAAAAAATCAATTTCCACACCATTCCTTTATTGTATGTTCGTGATTTTACGTAATTGGCTGTCAAGATATGGTTTAGAAGAAAGTTGTATTATGTTTGAGTACTTGTATCGCATTTAATATGTAGAAACACGGATAAAAAATATATATGTATTATTATCATTATTATTATTTTCAATATTTGGGATATTTTTCTCATTATGGTATATTCTTAGATGTACTTATATAATAACGGTTGATGTTTTAGTCCCCGTCAAATTCAAATCCTTGGTAATTGAGTTATTAAGCTTCTAGCACCTAAAGAGTCAGTTTAATGTTTTACAATTTCATCATTCATATAATACAAGAACATAGTCACATTTGTTCAGTTAATTGATTTTTAGGCATTCATACCATAGCATTTTTTTACTACTTTTATTCGACCGATATTGTTGAAATTAATTGAAATATTCTGAGTTTCCTATTAATCATTGAAGATGGACAATTTTTGTTTGGGATTTTGAACACGGATAGTTACACTTTCACGGACTTAAGATCAAAATAAAACCGAGGCGCCGTGCTATTAAGGAGTACGAAAACGTCTATTAAATGTAACATACGTGTCTCAGTGTAAAGTAAACTATAACAAGAGGTCCATATATATATATATATATATACGGACTTCTTGTGTTATATATATCTAAGTCCGTGGTATGAGCAAATCATTCATCCATGACCTGTCTTTGTTTACTTTTCTTGTAAATTCTGTTTGTCAAAGTACATAATTTTGACAATTATTTTGACCAGATTCGGGATCATTCATAGTAGCCTATAAGGATTCATCTAAAGTGTCACGTCAGTTTTGAAAGTTCGGCTCGGTAATTATAAACTAAGTCGTGGTTTTCCCAAAATTCAGTAGTCAATTTTTGAAATAATTTGTGTTTGGGCGGATATCACACATTCTGGAAGAGTGTTCCATATACACGCTACCCTCGTACTGAAGAAGTTAAGTGTGTGTGTTGAAGTTTCTCTTTGTGCAAACATTTTTTTTTCAGAATTTCCCTTTTCCTTATTTTTCAAGAGGAAAAAAAAGAAAAGTAAGTTGATCAGCAACAAAGTATTTTCATGAAAGCATACTGTATATTGGTTTCAAGTTGAATATTGAAATATTCAATTACTACCATCTAACGTATATTAAGTCAGAAACGTAAAACTGTGTATATGTATATAAAAAAAATATTACATTGGACGGTGCCATGCACAAACTAAGAGTTAACTCCCTTGGGTATGGATGAGACTCTCGTTCTCAGACGTCATTTCACGAAAGCAAGATGGCGAGTGTCTGAAAACAGTTTCTCTCCTCAGAAAAAAATGATTTGCAGAGGCATATACGATGAAATGAGGTATGCACACGTGTTGGAAGGAAAATATGAAAAGTAATTGACCAGATGTTCTTTGTGAACGAGCTGTATAATATCGCTACAACTGGATACAGTGTATCGTGTTTGTGTTTAGGGTTCATCGGGGATCCAGGTCTGAGGATTTCGGTATAAGCCCGTAACAAGTTCCGATTGCCACGAAGCTGAAATGATAGAACGAATATAACTAGTTGAAATGTGTATAAGGATGCATCTCTGTGGATACATTTGTTGATGTATGCAGTGTGATATTTATATGTACAATCATGCACACTCGCATACCAGTTGGTCTTTGTTTCAATGCACCATATTATATCGTTCATTGATCTGACAATTTAATAGTGTTCGATCACATTATTGATTTCAGCTAGGCTTATGAAGGAAAATGCACTCTGCTAGTCTTAATTATTCGATTCGTACTTTATACAGACGTATCATGTAGAATAAAGAGAAGATCAAGTGTCATTTTGTAGTGGTGATGTTTTTGTTATTACTCTCCCATTTAACAAAGTCCTTTATATTCATCAAACTGAATTCTTCGTTGGTATTCCTAAGCTATTCGTAAATATATGGTGGCTAGGTTTTGATGAGATTTAGATTTATTTCTTAAGCAGTATGCTTGCAGGCATATTGTCTATTTACAAACAGGTCTTTGTGCAGTTTGACCTACATTCTGGAAGTGACATCCCTTCAGATCAGCAGACTAACATGCATTATCATAAAACTTAATTTTTCTTTTTTCATTTACAATATATCAATCATTCCACTTTAACTTCTTGCTTATTATTAATATTATGTACATAAGAAATCACATTTATGTTTCATGTGTGTTGTGCTCTGTTCACTTGGGTTTTCCATTTTGTGAGGGTTTTAAGAGATTCCCTCATCTGATCTGGCATCAGGTGGTGTGATGTTTCAGTCTGATCTTGTTTAAGACAGATTATTGACCCATCCACAACACCTCCATAGATTGCTCATAAGTGGAAGAATTTTGAACCAAAAAAAAAAATGTGTGTGAACCAACCACTACATATAGGCCTACGTCATTTGTGTTTTAATTTTCCATGTTACTTTTCTTGTACAGATGTGGTCTTGATCTCTCGTCGTTTGTTGCGAGACCATGGCCAACAAAAAGATAGACATCAACAGGTGTAGCGTAGAGGAGCTTGAACAACTGCCTGGTATTGGACGTCACAAGGCAGAGGCTATAGTCAAACAGAGGAAGGTGAGATTTTGATACTAATATAATAATATAAACTTTATTTATTTTACAACAATTGCAAAACAAGTGATGTCAACTTATACTAATCACTCTTGTTGGCCTGGATGTAAGCGTGCGAGAGGTCTTATTGTGGGAGGAAACCAGAGTACCCGGGGAAAACCCATGTGGTAGGGCAGGTGACCCCTTACCTTTTCACATCCATTCCAGGAAACGAACCCCGGTTGGCTAGGTGAAAGGCGAGTGCGTTACCACTGCCCCACCCGACCACCCACTTAGTATAATGAGACTAAGTGAGGTATTAAAAAATGAGTTCCAGACTGCTAATTCTGGTCCAAATTAATAAATAAAGATTAATAGAATCTTCCAGTTGTGCAGTGTTGACAGTTATCTGAACCTGAAAACTCAGTCCAAAATTATAAAAAAATTTATCCTGAAGCTTTGAAGTATCCACATCACACATTGATGAGCCATTATCCTGATCAGTGGCCTGTGAAATGCTGTATGTGTGTCAAAATTTATGATGACATGCATGGTTACAGGACACAAGTGATGACGTGATCTTACTGTAATTTTTTATGTCAAATCATGTAAGATCTTCCACGAGCAAGTGTGATAGAATAATGGAATCTTACATGGTTTTGTTCTGTGGAGATGGATATCTTTACTAAAGTGTAAAAGTTGGTCGAACCAAATGTAAAATAGTGTTCCTCCAAACTCACACACTAGAGTAAGTTATTGTAAGTTTTTAGTAAAATGTGCATCCTAAATGATGACGTTATCAATTTGCGACATGGTTACTTTACATAAAATGATGATATTACCCTATTGTGAATACATTGCATGTGCCAGCTGTCTCTCCCAATCCCATGTGTGAGAGAGTTATCCCATCCCAAACAACTATGGGATCACTATGTCAAGGACGTGAGAATCGCTGGGAACCAGTATCTATGTGGAAGACTCTAACAAGTAAACCAGACTTTTCCCCACAAAAAACCAAACAACACACATTTTCTTCTGCCAATGTAAATAAGAACGTTTTGACATTATACCGTGATGTTTCTTACTGTCATATGGTTGGTAAAATCATAACGATGTAAATGAGTAAAAGTGAAAGTGTATAAACAGTCATAGCGATGTTTTTATCAAAAACTATTTCAGACATTTTTCGGTATGTCAATAAAGGATGATATATAAAGCCGTTTATGATTCTCATGCAAAACAACCTGTTGGTATGTAGACACCTGGATTTAATGGGAATACTAAATAAAATTCATTGAACAGTATGCAAGTAATTTTTATGAAACATGTGCACAACTTTCTGTTTTGTTCCCGTGACTATAATGTTTTAGTGTTGCTTCCATTCATCAGTTTAAACAATGATTGTTATCTGGGTCATTTTCACTTCTTAATACATGTATAACTGATTGATGACAATTGGACCTATAATGGCACGGAAACTTGTTAAAATTAAAAAAATATGTAGCATACCTGAGTGATTAAATGATAAAGATTTCACAAATGAATTACCCAAAATCACATTGAAATGATATATTTTAGAATAATTTGATATCTTAAAAAATTGCCACTATTTTATAACCATTTTTGTAAATTCTTCAGCATTTATATTCCGTTATATATGGAACTGACTGATGTGTTAGTATTAGGTTATCTGTTGCTTGTAACAGTAATGTTGAATAAGGAATTTTCAGGTGATTCTCAAAGGAATTTTCAGGTGATTTTCAGTACTTATATCTGTGATGGAAGCCTTCTATATTAAATGCCTAAAGCAATATTCAGAAAGATACTACACTAAACTATTGACTTTTGATACTGTAACTAGCTACTGTAGACTTTCCATGTCACAGGTTGTTCATGTGCAATAGAAAAAACACAGCTGTCTATATCATAAAGTACAGGATCCTTTGAAGTGTATTAGTACGTGGCAAATTCAAGAAAGAAGTAAAATTCTACAGCCAATTGGCTAACTAAAGTCATTTTGACACTTAGAAAAAAGATAATTCCATATATGGTTTTCATATTTGAAAAAAGAACTTTTCATCTCTGTCTATAAATTAACATTCCGCTATGCACAATATGTGTACATTGTATATATATGATTAAGACAAGAATGGACACCATTCTGATATCGTTTTCTGAATTTTGAACCCTGTATTTTGTATTGGAGCAGTATATAGAGCTAGCCACATGCATAATCAGGTAAAGTTAAGGTGATCATTGCTAAATTAAACAAAAAAGGTGCAAAAAGCAAGGGTTAATAACATAATTCAAGCTATTTAGGGTCAAATAATTGTACATGACAATCGTGTACATTGTAGATTTTTTATTGTGATCAATTTCTTATATATCCTCTAGACTATTTTTGATTATATAGAAACAAAATTTATGAGGTATTTTATGACTTTCTTCTTATCATAAATATACCTGTTCTATGTAAATAGATATTTTATTATTCCCACTGGATAACATTTAGCAAATACACAAGAGCAAAGGTTGATCAGGTCTACATGTAACTGTCATTAAACTTTCATATAAATGTCTTACTGATAGAGCAAGACTGATACAATCAAAATATCAATTCAAGTGTCTCTGAGAGCATACAATGATGTGTTAGTTTTATGAAATTAAGAAATTGGTTTTTATCCCTTTCTGGCCAGAAATTTTCTTCAAGGGTATCTTAGGATGAATGTTTAAGAATGCCTTTTGCTGTACAATGCAGGATAATGCTGGACTATTGGCAACTCAAAAATGAAAATGGCTTTTCGATAATTTCTTTCAATATCACACAAATTTGCCCCCTTATATTTCCAATATTTTCTAGAAATTGACCCATTACTGTCGGCCCCCAGTACTTTTCCTGCAATGTGAGGTTATCTTCAAACTGCAGGTAGTTAGTGAGCTACATAGCATGTACCTACTAACCTCTGCACATCACACTGACAGGATTGTAACATATACACTTCATCTTTATGATCTTGGCTTTTCTAGGGCACTGTGAACATGTACCGTATACGTGTAATCAAACAAATAAAGAGGTTTTTGTCATACAAATCTATCCACAAAGAGTCATTGTGTTTTAAGTTGATAGGATTGTGTCAAGCTTTTCTTCTAGTGCCGTGCAGTCACATTAGACACATAAAATTTGTTTGAAGGTGAAAAAATAGTTAATGTGAGATACATTCTGTAATTAAGACGGAGAAGTTGCCTGACTAAAGGTCTAGGTCTAAGGTGAAGTTTAATTTGTTTTCACCAACTATATTTCATTTTTATTTTACACTATTCTGGAAGAAACCCAATTATAATCCAACAAGAATGTGTCTGAACAAAGTCAGGGTCATTAAGTGGATGTCAAGGTTATTTTGTTTAAATGGTTAATATCAGTGGTGAGTGTATTTTGAATCTGGAGGTAAATTTTACCCCTAACAATTTATTCATATAGAGAAATCCTTGAAAACTCTGGGTGCGAGTCTTGAATTAAAACATTTTGGGAGATACTGTACCTTCATTCAGGGGTAATTATGATAGGGAACACTTTTATCACTACAGATTAAATTCCAGTTAATGTCATGTTTTGTTAAACCTATAACAAATTTGATCAAAATCAAAGAAGTTACCAGATCTAACAAACTATGAGTAATTAAAGGTAATTCTAACAAAGGTCAGGGTCAAATCTTTTATCTGGTAATATATTTACATATATTTTGTTACAAAATTATATGAAGCGAAGTTATCAGAATGAAAAGAAAAAGTGGGGCAGATCAGTGATAAATGTCACCTGGTAATAGAGAAGGGTCAAAATACTAAAAAATTTTCTATTCTAAACTTATATCATTGATTTTAAGCCCACCATCATCAGATGGTGGGTTATTCAAATCGCCCTGCGTCCGTCGTCCGTCCGTCCGTAAACAATTCTTGTTACCACTATTTCTGGAAAAGTACTGGATGGATCTTTCTCAAATTTCATATGCAGGTTCCCCTTGGTCCCTAGTTGTGCATTGTACCTTTTTTGGACTGATTCGAATTCAAGATGGCCAACAGGTGGCCATCTTGGATTTTGGATGTAAAAGTTTGTTACTGCTATTTCTTGGAAAGTACTGGATGGATCTTTCTCAAATTTCATATGCAGGTTCCCCTTGGTCCCTAGTTGTGCATTGTACCTTTCTGGACTGATCCGAAATCAAGATGGCCAACAGGTGGCCATCTTGGATTTTGAGAGTAAAATCTTGTTACTGCTATATCTGAGGAAGTACTGGATGGATCCTTCTGATATTTCATAGATATTGGTTTCCCTTGGTCCCTAGTTGTGCATTGTACCTTTTTTGGACTGATTTGAAATCAAGGTGGCCCACAGGCAGCCATCTTGGATGTCAACAATAATACAGCACAAACATATTGTCCATTATCCACCTGTAACTGACTGCTACCTAATAATACTTTGGGATCTTTTTCAAATGATATATGCTAATAAGTGCTTAATAAAAATATCTTATGCCATCATTGAGTACATTCAATGAAGACCAGTTCATGAACATTTACAACACCTGTAACAAACAAAAAAAAATAAACAAATCTTCAAGAACTGAAAATAGATCCTCAAATGGTGGGCGCCAAGATCCCTCTGGGATCTCTTGTTATAAACATATGAGGAGTTGTAATGCCAAAGGTCAAGCCATCTCTTTGCTGGAATGTGTACAAATTATCTAATGAACAGAAAACATGTTTTTATTTATCAAAAAAGAAAAATTTATAGTGGTTGTTGAACTTGTTTTCATTCAAGAACATAAAAGCATTATTTCCTATACTGGTAAGTAGATTCAACAAGTTATTTTCTATATCAGACTGTGAAATACTTATTCTTCTTGATCATCAACATTGGAAAAAAACGCATTCAATATTGTAAAGTTAATCAATAAAATTGTAATTTTTCAATTCTTGATGATTTTACTGACGCCTGTAGTCAATACACTGAAGTCTTTATGTATAGGTCAAGATAGTAATGTGGTTTAGGGCCTAGACATAAATGCAAATCAGAATTGTTGAAAACTTTAATTTATGTAATACAAGGAGGTCACAGTTGTGTCATTGTAATGAGATCAAATGCATACACTGACATAAACAACTTACATGTCCTCAGGCAGATGTTCTTCTTTGTCAATTGATTTTTATAAAAGTGAATTATGCCGTTCTGATTCTTCATTGAATAACAGTGATAAGTCAGCAAAAGCTGTCATCAGCTGGTGGATGTGATTATAATCATCCATCTTATACATGTGTATCAAGTATGTGTGGAGACCAGAGAGAAGCATGCACAGTTAGTATACCTAGTCACTGTTTGTAGGATTGAAAGTATAGATGGATGATCAGTTAATTTTACAACATAATATGCTAGATTCAGTCATTCTTTAGATTATGTTTTAGATAAATTTCTTGTTATTGTTTTGGTATGGTTACCTTCATTTCAATTTTACAACTGCAACAGTGATATAAAATACACCAAGAAATATATGGGTATGTGTTTTTGGAGATACTACTGAATAAACTAGATGTAGAAACTGAAATTTTGCACTAGGGATATCAAAATTTGTGATGGTTTCTTCTGTTTTTAAATAGATCTAGTAGAAGATTAGCCATGCAGGAGACACATATAGTTGTCACGTTTGTTCAGTACAGTGACTATATACATATATCTTTTTTTCGATTGCCAGGCTATTTCATGGTATAATTTGATTTCCAGAATATTTAATGATATAACTTGATTGTCAAGCTATTTAATGGTATAATTTGATTGCCAGGCTATTTAATGGTATAATTTGATTGTCAAGCTATTTAATGGTATAATTTGATTGCCAGGCTATTTAATGGTATAATTTGATTGTCAAGCTATTTAATGGTATAATTTGATTGCCAGGCTATTAAATGATATATTTTAATTGCCAGACTATTAAATGATATATTTTAATTGCCAGACTATTAAATGATATATTTTAATTGCCAGACTATTAAATGATATATTTTAATTGCCAGACTATTAAATGATATATTTTAATTGCCAGACTATTTGTTGGTACTCATCATTATACTACTTTTATTTTGATTGCCAGGCTATTCGAGGGTTCAGCTGTGTGAATGACCTCCACAACAAAGTACCTGGAGTAGGAGCATCAACAGTTGACCAGAACCGAGGGCTTCTAGTGTGCGAGGTGACCACTCCTAGATCCAGACACACCAACAGGTCTGTGTATCTTTATTTATTGCTGACCACATTGGTGATATGGTCATTTTTTATATCAATGTCATTAGCTGAGTTTATTGAATACAGACAGAACAGAAAAAATCACTGCCACATCACTAGGTAATCATGTTCAAGATTTTACATTTCAATATGGGAAAGTTCAGCAGAGTCAGTATTATATTCATAGGATGATTTTGGTAAAAAAAAAGTATCAAGATTGAAGAAATTTGCTTAAAACTTTGTTAAATACTGCTTTTAAGAATCAACTGTTTTGTGTGATTTCAGAGGTGGCAGGAGGACTCGTCATGGTTCATGTACAGCATCTGGACCGGAGGTGGTGACACCATCCCCAAAACCATCATCAAGTGGAGGGATCCCACGTTTAGGGTCTCGGCAGGGCCTGAGACAGCGGTCCAGGGGAAGCCTTGCCCCACCTGATTTACCAACTACAAGTACTGCTGCTGACAGTGTGGCCGGCCTCACTCCCAGGTAGATCATAGATACTCAGCATTACAACCAGTGGTATACTTGTCCAACTTACAGAATGATCTTTTAAATGCTTTATTTGCTCCAGGTCTAACAATGAAGTTAAAATTCATCCTTCATGAATCTTATTGATATACCTTCACTCTTTCACTTTTCGGGGACATATATTGTCACCCTTGGGCATCATTCTGGCATAATTTTTTTTCACCTTATTTGTCGCATACAGACACACAACTGTTGAAATACTGAAAAAAAAATCTTTCGACAGAACTTATGATTTAATTTGTATCCTTTGCTATAGATTCTGTAATTGTTTTTATCATGATCATGAGTTCCAAAGATCTCCTTGTTTTCCAGTGGCAACATTAGTGTTGCGCCAACACATCTAGTCCCTGAAAAGTTTTGATTTTGTAACTAAATCAAAATTTTAACAATTTGAAAAATTGTTTCTAGTTTTCCATCTGATTTTGAATGCAATTGCCAATGAAGTGTTGATGTAAAGATAATTCTCCTCAAAGTATAACCAGACATGTGTTGGATATTAATCTATCTTATCTATCCCTTGAATTCCTGGAATTTCAGAAAATCTCTTATATTATATATCACATATCATCATCCAGGTACAGATAAAAGTTGTGGTACTTCATCTGGTCACATATCAAAGATAATAAATTCTATTGGTGTGCTTTCTTTAGACATGACGACACATGTCGCAGTGCCGTGTTGGACTCGCTTAGTGACAGCCACATGAGTGAAGATGGAGGCTCTGGTGAGGAGGATGGTGGTTCAGATGAGGAGGAGGATGCCGCAGAGGATGATGATGATGATGATGAAGAGGAGGAGGAGGAAGCATGGTTTGGGGATACGTTATCAGATGATGAGACATCTCAGGACAACTCAACGTCATTCCCATTCCTCTGCTCCTCATTACCCGTGTCTTTGGCAGGGTCATCCTCCACCAGTTCCACCCCTGGGCCTTACCGCTCACGAATACCAATCCCTATCTCTGGTTCCTATGGCAAACATATTGTAAGTTTTCAGCCTGCGCAGATTACTCATTTCCTTATATAAATTGTCTGGCTTGCGTTTGCTTATTTTGAAAATTTGACACCTACATGTCTTAATGTTCCAGATGTAAATTTGAAATCATTCAGATTATAGTTTCTTATATTCAGGGCTTCGGATTAGCACCTCATTCCGTAATGTACACTTTTCAGTGGTGATTTTATTTTAGTGCTTTTTTGCATTGAATGTATTGCTCTATAAAATATTATTTGGCTAAATGTGGTTTCTGTATGTTGTTTATAATAGCAACTATTGCAGATGAGGTAATTTATCATTGCACTTATTTGCCAAAATTACAGATGAAGCGCAAGTGCAGTAGCAGTAGGGACGAATTAGTTCAAGGGAAGAGGATGCGGACAACAGACGATGTGAGGTAATGAACTGAATGAACAGACAGAAATAACTCAAGCTAAGATAAACTCTAAATCAACACAATCATCTGGACACTATCTGCATATTTCTTAGTCTTAATATATTTTTTCAAGTTTTCAAGTTATGTTGTTTGAAGGTATATTGAAGGTGTAATAAAGAATTATTTTTGAGATAAATGTACCTTTCTTGAGAAAGAAAAACTGATTATGTACAGGGAATGTAGTTAACATCAACATTTGGTCAAGTGACTTAAAGAGATTGGATTCTATGTTACAAACTCTGATGTATGTTCTTCAGTGCATTCTCGGTCCTGATGATGAAGACTGTTCGCCACCAGTACAAGAGCGGTCACAGACCTCGAATTCCATCCAAGGAACACCCACCTGCCAGGCTGGCAGAATGGCTTCAGATTTTTCAGGTGTGTCTCTGAATATCTAATTGGTTTAAGAAGCAAAACAAGAAATTTCATTCCTGTTTTAGAAAATTTTCAATGCAATCAGATTTTTATTGAAGTAAGATTAATAAGTATGAATAATTAACCACTTGTCTAATCAGTATATCAATGTTATTATTGGTTGTGTGTTAATGTTAAGATATTGAGTGCTTGGTGTTTAGCTCAGAAATCATTCTTTATAGATATTGTGTCAGCTGGACAGTTTCCCATACTTTTGTTGTAAAAAGTAAAAAAATAATTTGACATAATTTGTTTAACAGACATGGAGCAATGCAGAGCGTATGATGGCACTGGATGAACTTATAACTATTTGTGAACCAACACAAGTCAGACATATGATGCAAGTTATAGAACCACAATTCCAAAGAGATTTCATCTCCCTGCTGCCAAAAGAGGTACTGTTCAACAAAGAAAACATTGCAAATTTAATCTGGTAAAAGTTATTTTTAATGCTTGTGTGAAGGTTATCAAATAAAAATGCTTTAACAAGTTTTTTGATGAATCCAGTTAAATAACATTGTAGTCTGATCACTTCAGGTTTTTCGGATGTTACACTCCATCACTTTGTGGTACATGGTATTTTCAGAAACACATTCACATACTTCTGTGAAGAAATGTTACTTGGCAAGGAATTATCTCCAAAATATCTAACTTCAAAATAGACTTTACCGATTATCAGATGTGATGTCATATAGTGTTTGATTACCACAAAAGATTTCAGAATTATATGGATATATGTGGTTGTTGTTTTTGTTGACAGTTAGCACTGTATGTGCTGTCTTTTCTCGAGCCCAAGGCACTGTTGAAAGCTGCTCAGACTTGTCAGTATTGGCGCCTTTTGGCTGAAGATAATCTTTTGTGGAGGGAGAAGTGTCGAGACGAGGGCATTGATGAAAATTTGGTGTATGGACCTAACCGGATACGGCGCAAGCGCTGTCCCTGGAAGGCCTTGTATATGAGACAGCATCAGATAGAGCTAAATTGGAGATGTGTAGAACTTCGCCAGCCTAAAGTAATTATTAAGAAAGAGTAGAGTTCCAGGGGTGTGAAAAATTCGTTCATTGCGCTAACGCAGGTTAAGTAGCCTGCTAAAATCCACTAGCATTAAACAATATTCTGCTAGCCCCAAATATTTCCACATCTATATCATGTTAAACAATCATGTTGATTTTTTTACATTGATTAACAAATTAATTGGAAAACCTCTTTAGAAAACAAAAGTTGAATGAATATATATATATCATAACATTAAAAAAAAACAAAAATCAGAAAAAAATGTCTGGATCTAGGTCCCAGCATGCATGGCTACCTCTTCTTTAGCTATCTTCTTGTCAACTTATGGATTGAAGAACTAGAGTTCTTCACTAAGATACTTGTTTCAAATAAAAGATATTGATTTGATGACCAATGACTACTATTTTAACAGTTGGTATTACCTACAGAGTAATTTCCACTAGCCCAAGCTGATAATTGAGTTGTCGCAGCATCAGGCTAATGGACTTTTCACCCCAGAGTTGCCAAGGGATATTGGAAAATAAGAGGAATTTAAGATTTTACAGACCATCATGATGTCCATTTGTTTATGATGTCAGTATAGTGTGATTTTGAAAATTTATATGTCAGTGGTATAGACAGAGTGTTTACTATGTTACAGCTGTTGAAAGGACATGATGATCATGTGATAACATGTCTAGAGTTCTGTGGTAACAAAGTAGTCAGTGGATCTGACGACAACACCCTCAAAGTGTGGTCAGCTCTCACAGGAAAGGTAATTATGACAGTTTTCAAACTTTTCTACAATTTTGTAAAATTTCTGAAAACAAGATGTTAACGAAAGTAATGCTCAAAGTAAAGTTTACATATGGGAAGATTACATGACTAAAATAGGACAATAATGAGATTAGAATGATATTTCCTTGTCATGATGGCATGATTTGAAAACATGTTTTAAGTAAATTAGCTAGGTTTCGGGGGAATTTTCCTTGTGTTGGGGAAATTTACCCATGTTTGCAGTAGATTTTCTAAGTGGGGAATTGATTTATATTCCACTGGGAGAACATAACACTTAGGGAATGCTATCATTTGTCTGGTTTAATTTCTGAAATTCATTGTCAGATGTTGACACTATCAATCCATAAGTGCTATGTACATTTTACAGTGCCTGAGGACATTAGTAGGACACACAGGAGGAGTATGGTCCTCACAGATGTCAGGTAACATCGTCATCAGCGGGTCAACAGACCGCACACTAAAAGTTTGGAATGCAGATTCTGGAAACTGTATCCATACCTTATATGGGCATACCTCTACAGTGCGGTGTATGCACCTCCACGATAATGTGTAAGTATGACGGAATACTTTTTAAAAATATTGGAAGGAAATTTTATTCACATTTCCTATTTAAACTCCACTGTGTCACCATTTCATGTTTAAACTCTATTAATTTTACCATCCTGAAACCTTGTCCATAGTTTATCTCTTTACACAGCCTTGTATTTTGGGTATGTGTTCAATACTGGTTTTTTCCATGCAATACCTGTGTTTTCAGAGTCTTTTTTACCTGTATATTCCTGTAAAATTGTTGACTTCTCAGTGCGAGAACAATCAAGTCAGAAGGCAACTATATGGTAATAAGAAAATAGAAGGATATCTGATGATAATTTCAAATGATGTCAGATGTGAGAGAAAATAGTCATATGCCAACAGGAAGAGATGAAATAATTTCACCTCTAGATGTTGAATGTTCTCATTTTTACTATTTCAGGGATGTTTTCCTCCTCATATAAAACTATTCAAGAATACTATTAAAAATGTGTATTGCTTGCAAAAATTCAATGTTTAAACCACATTTTGATTTCACTCATTTTGAAAATTCATAATTTGCATCAAAGAATTACGGAATTTCTAAAAATTCTCATCTTTCAATAGCCTTGTGTATTAATTAACTTGTCAAGTAAGCTATCGTTGAAAAAGGATGTTTCGATATTTTAAAAGTTTCTCTTTATTGTAGTGTTGTGAGTGGGTCACGTGATGCCACACTGCGAATGTGGGACATCGACACTGGTCAGTGTTTGCATGTCCTCATGGGTCACGTGGCAGCGGTACGTTGTGTACAGTATGATGGTCGGCGAGTGGTCAGTGGGGCGTATGACTACATGGTAAAGGTCTGGGACCCAGAGACAGAGACTTGCCTACATACACTCCAGGGTCACACCAATAGGGTGTACTCTCTACAGGTATTACAGATGTCTATCAAAACTTGTATGTGTATGCTATTTTCATGCATTTTCTATTTGTAGATATTGACATACATGTCATGTGCCTGTGATGTCACAGTGCCAATAATATGAAGGAGCAGGTAGAGCTTGATAGGGTTGAAAAACTTAGTCATTAAAAAACATTTTACATTAGTCAATGAAGTATTTTTACATTAGTTGAAATTAGGAAAAGAAAAGGTTTTCATAATATTTGATCTACATGAATCCCAAATTTCAGGAAAAGTATCTTTTCAGGGTCACTTTCTTGTCCATTCAGAAGTTTTGTTCCATTACTCTAAATAAACGATCAGAGTTCCTTACTTTTGATTTCCCTCGGTCGCATTCCAGCCTTCATAATTTAGGCCATTGACATCACTTTTCCCACCAGTCAGAACATTTATATATTTGTACAGGTGAAGTTTCTGTCCACCATTTTGCCCACAGTTGTGACAGTATTTTGCTTAAAATTTATGGTAAATGTTTCGTCCTGAATCTGATATCATGATATTTAGAATTCTCTCTGCTCATTATATCATACCTAAATTATATATAGTTACTATCCAGTCTTGTTGTTTTGTCCATAATAGAAGTGATAGTACTGAATTTTCTGTCTATTCTAGTTCCTTACTTAAAATTAGACTCCATTGTAGATATGATTCTATCCACTGTCAATGTTTTACCTATATCTTAATGTTACAATGTATTGTAGATTTAATATCTCACTACCCTATTTTTACCTGTTCACAGTTCGACGGTATCCACATAGTGAGTGGTTCTCTGGACACATCCATTCGTGTGTGGGATGTGGAAACAGGCAATTGTCTTCACACACTCATTGGTCATCAGTCTCTGACCAGTGGTCTGGAACTCAAGGACAACATTTTAGTGTCGGGTAATGCTGACTCAACAGTCAAAGTTTGGGATATCACTACTGGCCAGTGTCTTCAAACATTACAAGGTGAGTTGTAGTCAAAACTATCTCAGATTTTACTCATGTCAAAGTTCAAGTTATGGAATATTTGGTTGAATACCGAAGGCATTTGTTTGCACATACATAGTAATAAGCCTGCCCATACTTAGTCACTTCTCTGTCAAATTACCTAAAAATACTAATTTCATGCTATAACACCTCATGACTTTTAGTCCAAGGTGATATGTTGGCCCCCTATTGCCAGATAAATACTATTGGAAGTATAAAAACAAAAAAATGTAATTGTTGTATTCCTGTTGGCTTTTGAAATTTTTGGACATTGTTACACAATTAACGAAGGGAGACAATTTTTCACTTTCGGTATGTTAAAAAAAATCAATAGATTATTACAATGCATCATATACAGTAATGTTGTTGATCTGAAAGTTCCAAATTTGAATTTCTTGTTGTAATTGTACCCGAGTTTGATGTTGGCTATTGCTACATATACATGTATAAGTAACAAATTTTTTCATTTCTTTTTTCTGTGCAAAATGGACATTATGCTGCAGAGATTTATCCATGGTTTTTTCTCTTCCAGGCCCAAACAAACATCAAAGTGCTGTGACTTGTCTTCAGTTCAACAAACGCTTTGTTATAACATCATCTGATGATGGAACAGTGAAAATTTGGGACCTTAAAACAGGAGAATTTTTACGCAACTTGGTGGCTCTAGAAAGTGGGGGGAGTGGAGGTGTTGTATGGAGGGTGCGTTGTAGTAACACAAAACTGGTGTGTGCTGTGGGCTCTCGCAATGGCACTGAGGAAACAAAACTCTTGGTTTTAGACTTTGATGTTGACGACAAAAAAATTGGTGTATGAATGTAAATCCATATAGTGCTGCAAAGAATTATGCCAAAAGATCCTGGATTGGGATGTAAATTTGTGGATATATACAGATAGTGTGAAGTTGAATGTTCTTGTGAATCTGTGATTTAGGAAAACAGTGAGGACAACCATCTATGTGATAGTTCGATAAACAGTTGAAAGTAGATGTTTGAAGAGTTCACGGTAGTATCATAACCAGAATCCACCTCAAAAATGCCAAACAGCTCGGAGTACAACTCCGCACCTACTTTAGTCTGGTCGTCTACAATGCTGTGGTGTCACTTTTTGAATATTTACAGTAGAGCGCAATCAAAGGTGAAATGGTGAAAGGTGGTAGTTGTTTTATTTTAGGGCAGAATACATATCAATGCACAGTATTTATGTAAACTGTTGTTAAATGATTTTACCGGTAGATGTTGGTAAAGTGTGATTTGTAGCCTGGGCAATTTCTCTTCCAGGAAAAAAGTGTATTGACATGGAGTTTACTTATCTCTACAAACATTTGATGAGTTCGAATCAGATTTCTTCTTTTTTCAAAAACATCCTAGACAAGTTAATTGGAAATGTTGAAGTCAGTTACATTTTTGCAAGATTTATAATACATTCCAGTTTGCTATATTTAAATTTGCCCGATGCCGTCCCACTACAACGCTATAGACGGTCTGTGTAATGATGAGACTATAATGGCAACTGGTCCCACTGTACTGTGAAGTAACAATGCTTCTATCAGTCATTCCATATTTGGACTGTTCCATTTACTGGATATACTCCATTGTATGAGATGAAGTTTTTCTCTCAGTATAACTGGATATCAAATTGATATTGCCCAAAATGTTGTTAGTAATTTAACCATAGATAATTAATTTTCCGGAATACAATTATACCAGGTAGTTTATATAATTGCAAGATACCCATGTGGCAAATCTTCCATGAAACCAAAGTTTAGTGGTTTTATGTGTAATTACATGCAGAAAACACTTTAATGTTTATTGGTTTGGAAGGCCAGCTTTTATGTGTAAGAAAATTATGAATAAGAAACAACGATTGATATTTTCTAAAACAAAATCTCCAGTTATTTAAAAGCTAAGTAAGTGGCATTTAGTAGTTGCTTAAAGAAAACATATTGGTGAATCTACTACAAAAATACAAACCTGTAGAATTAATTTGAAATTGTTTTTCAAAATTTATTTCTAACAACAGTATATACCTTGTATGTGTAATATCATAACAATTGACTTTAGTTGATAGAACAAGATTGACAAGTCTTGTTCCTTAAATATTGGAGGTTTGCATGACCAGATACTTTTTTAAAGATGTCTGATGTAGCTGTCAGGATAATTCCTGAAGAAATCGGCTGACCACTGGCCTCTTATGCTATACAAGTAGCCGCCTTCATGCTGAATTTAAATAATCTTGTAAAGATGTTACTGAGCCTCATCAAAAAATATTTCCCAATAATACGATCTTCACTATATATACCTACTGTAAATTGTCACTGCTTCCACCAGGCATTCTTCATCATTTTATAACATGTAGGAAATCTAAAAATTCACCATCGGCTGTAAATTTTGGGATAGTTGGGAAGCTACCTAGATCTTTCTTAAAACTTCAGTCTAAGAAAATTTTTACGATATTTGACCAAAATTTTATTTGTTAATGGTGTAAAAATGTGTGTTCAACTTGCAGACCCAAGTAAAATTCCTGTTAAATGGTTAAGCTGAAATTGAAGGATGTCTGTCTGTCTGTCCGTTGATATCATAACACACAGTGAGGGACAGAATTTTAATGACGATGTATATTGTTACCAGAAGTACATTATTTTACAATAAACTATAAAATTGAGTAATCAGAGCTGAAATCCTTAATTTACAAGATTTCAGTGTGAAAACTTTTTAAAGAGTCTGTTACCATACTTTGACCTGAAAAATGTCTTTCATTGATGTACTGTTCTGAAACTGATGGCATTTGTCTGCACTCTGACAAAGGTTTGAGGTGATAGTTTGATGTGATTGTGTACAGTGTATCACCAGTGGTTGTATATGTAACTCTTACTAGTCATTCTTTACAGTCAAACCATCTCTTTGTGTTCCTTAGATGTATCACACTTCTAACAGCATTCAGATACCTACTGCAATTCTTAAAGTCTTCTAAGTTATTTGGAGATTCACTTCTCCCTCCTGTCAAGTCATTATCTTCCTGTGATTTTTGTCTCGATGTTGGAAATATGCTCAGAAATTGAACTGTATTGCATGGGCTGATTGTGTTTTATAATTGCTGTTGGCCTGACAAGGTTGATATCCTTTAAATAGCTACAAACATTACAAACGTTTTTTTTTTTTTTTTTCATTTTGTAACTTCAAAACCTCATTTTTCTGTGCAATTTATTTTTTAGATGTTTTGATTTGACTTGGTGCCTTGTTTGTATCAAATCATTCTGGGATAGAAGGTTTCTGTGTAAGAGGTGACGGCTCCTTACTCTAAATGTTAGAATTTTATTTGTACCCTAAGATTTATATGTACTTACAACACTTACATTTGATTCACACCTGTTATAGTAATTTGAAAAATCACTGGAGTGATGTCTGTAGTGACTCCATACCATCATCAGGTTCATTACCAGTTGTGGTTATAAACTTGATTTATGAAGGGTTTGTTGAAAGGTTATGTCACGATAGTCCAAGATTGTCTTGTGTAAATATGTGTGTGAGAGTGTGTGTGCAAATCATTGCAGCAGGTGCTATACTAAAAAATTTATCACATTTATATAAATGTTACATAATTATCACAGGCATTTGTGATGATGATATGCTGCTAAATGATTTGCAAGATTTATTTTGCTTTTTTTCTAACTGAAAAAAAAAAATACTGAATAACGTTGTCCAATATAAAGTATGATGATCTCCGCACTTTGGTTCCAAGGTGACGGAATTTAGATAATTTACTTGTTTCTACCCGTGTCACTTTGTAAATTTACTTCTCTGGTTTTGCTGTAAAGATACATTATCTGTGAGATTTTTATTTATCCCTGAAGTGATGTTTGTGTATACAATGTCGTTTCTCAATCCTTATGACCACTTGGTAACATTTTAATCTTGATCTTATGTACAGATCTACTCGTGTCTTTCTTAGGCGGAGTTCTTCAATTTAGGTTATCTCCCCTTGCATGTATTTATTGCTGCAGGTCAATTTATTGTAACTGATGTGTTTGTTGTGAGAGTTTTGTGATTGTCAGGTGTGTTGTGATTTCATTGTGTATATCGGTGTCCCTTCAGGTTTTTGTCAAACCAGTAGTACATTTTAATGATCAGTACTGGAAAGTATGAAAGTAGTAACTGTGAGATTTCATATAGTTGAAGAATCATGATTGAATTTAAATGGACTGGTATAATCATCATCTGTGTGTGAATCTTCAGTGCAGCATGTCTTCAGACAGAGCAGTTGTAACCAAACTTATAAAGTCAACTTCAAACTGCCAACCATCATGTGCCAGTTGAATTAATTATTGTACAGACTGATATTGTGTCCGTATGTTAACTGTGTTTGAATGTGTCAAAATCTGAGATGATTTTATCATGAAATTTAACACATCAGATATATTTGAAAATAGAAAACTAATTTGATTTAAACATCAATCCAGTGTGACTGCACAGTCACCATAATTTATGTAGATAAATTCATTAAGTGTGAAAATTTACACCCTACAGTGACACTACCTACTGCAGGTAAGGTAGTACTAATACAGTACATTTACTAATATGCAGGTAGTTGATATAAGTTTAATGAAATGTCGAATCACATCACAGCTCTTAACATCATTTGCACGGCAAAATCTCATCATTGGGAATTTTTAATTTATCACAATTAAAAAATTTCCAGATATTAACCATTGTGCATAGATTGCCATTGTATGGAATACCTCTCAAAATTAGTAATATAATTGAAAATTCAAGAAAAAATATACATTGGTAACCTTGGCAATTGAAAAAGCATCAGTTTGATAGATACACAGACAAATGTATTGAATTAATGTTCAAACTTGTTATGGTGAAAGAAGTGAAATTTTTGTATTAAATTCATTTAAGACAGAATTGCTCATCTGTTTCCCAGACACTTTCTGTAGTATGGTGATTATTGTGGTTATTCTTACTTTCTCCATGTGACACTTTCATCAACTGATTCTTGTAAACTTAATTTATTTGCTGACACAAGTCAGAAGCTTAAGGTATAATAATCACACTTGTTGACTTGGATGGAAACTGGATTACTCCAAGAAAACCCAAGTGGCCAGCTGGTAACAATAACTTATTCCTGTAACTGTAACTTTATCACAAGTATCTATACTTATGGATCTACAATTTTGTCTTCTCTCTCCCTACACAGAATTGACAGTGTCATGTGAAGGAAATTCAACACTCAGCCACAGACAAGTATTAACATATTGGACAGGCATGTGTGATGATAGGAAGTGTGAATGTGTCGTGATTGTGATACAGAAGTCAGTATCTGTGTATATATATATATACATATATATATATCCAGTATGGATCCAGGTTGGAGCACTTATAGCATGCCCATATGTACTTCCAAAGGGGACATTGTGCACATGCAAACTTCAAGGCTCAAAAAGTGCAATGATTGAGCGCAAAACAATATATTTCGTCTTTCAGTGGACAGTTTGAAACTGAACAATTTTTAAGATAGTCTGATAAAAAACCTTTTCAATAAAAAAGGGAGCATAGTATGCACTCCTCTTGTCTTAAAGTGTCATTAGATATTTGTCCAAGTCTAATGGTTTTCCTTTATTTTCTTTTGATTTGATATCAAGGATAGATTTAACATTTTAGTTTGTGTTCTCCTTCTCCTTTTTATATTAAAACCTGGATCCACACTTGTATATGGAAGTTTCTGTAACCAGAGAAATGTATATATGATTCTCTGGATTTTTGCTGTAAATGTGAATGATGTGCAGGTTTATAAATGTACAGGTGTAAAATTATTGAGAACACTTTAAATGCTGGAGAGAATGTTACTACATGTGTGGTATCCAACTTGTATAGTAACTGTAAAAGGTACAGTTCAGAACACAGGAAATATGATACTGCAGAATAATTAAAGTCACAACAAACATGTTCATTCTTCTGTGTCTTTTATTTCACCAAGACAGTCCAGCCTTTATATAAATGTGACAAACACTGTACCTTCATATCAACAAGACTTTCTGTAGGATTTGAGAAGTTATGGTTATTCTCAGTTACAAGTAAAACATGCAGTTTGACAGCTATAGTCAGAGTTTGCATACACAAGTCATGTTTGTATTGCAAAATATCCTTTAGCAGAATATTTTAAACATGATACAGTACAGGTCTCCATCACTAGAGTCGAGAGAAATTTTCACAAAAGTAGTATGGTGACCTATCACTTAAGTTGAAAGGTTCTGACTATCTAGTCATATATTTCTTTTTGTGTTCGTCTTTAACTACTACAATGATACAACTGAAATTTCAGTCAATCAGTGCATATGTCCCAACAAAATGGTGTGATGGAATTTGGCTGCCTGGTTAAAAGACCTGTCTTGAATTAAAATAATTATGACATTTTATCGGCTGTTATATATCGATCTTAAGTCATGTTCAAACCAATATAAAAAAAATCAATATTGATGTCAGAAGACTTCTGACTACACAGTGATTTGACATTAAACAAGATGATGTGATCTCATGTCTAAAACAATATTGAAAATGAGAGCCAGTCTACCTCAGTTGGTAAGAATGAATATCTTAGTGTTTAAAAAAATAGGTTCAATACTCCATAGGGCTGTTGTATTTTCTCTACTTAAATGTCTAATCCTTACACTATACATTAAACTATTATGCATTGTCAATTAAATTATGATCATTTCCTATCATCGTAATTCTCATAGTTCGAGAAAATATTGGAGACAAGGCCTGCAGCGGTGGTCCTTAGTCTGAAAAGTGTTATTTAATTATAGCTGAAGGAATTCAGATATATTGATGTTGAAAATTTAGTTTTGTTAGAGTGTTTGGTATTAGAAATAAAAATTAAGGAGGAGATCTCTACTGAAAGAAGTAAAAGAAAACAAACAAAAAACATTTTGTTGAACTCTTTTGGGTGAATACGTGATTTCCCGCCAAAATGTCATTTACACGAACGGAATTAGAGAGACTCCGAACTATCAGTTCCGGTTTACATTGGTCTGGTGACGAAAGTTTGAACGACAGTTTTGAAAAGAGTTGCTGTAGATGTTAAAGACCTGTCATGGTGATTTATTATTTCATACTTCATAAACTATTCATACCCTTGTATTTTCATCACTTTAAGGTCTGAGTTTTCATCCAGAATGAAGACACTGAGTAATTAAGCAGACGAAACATTTTACTTGCCTTCTGGAAAGTGGATAGTCAATGGGACACGCCCCCCGGAAAACGTAAACACCGTAATGTTAGCGCAATTGTAACCTTTCACTTAGCAGTGATAATGTTTAATGTATTAATCAAAGGCAACATATTAAGAATTCACTTCTCTAAAAATGCCACCACTGAAATATTCGCGAACCCTCCGAAGGAAATTTTTTATGTCTGGTTGCTATAACATTAAATACGGGCTCATTAGACTGGGTATCGTAATCATTTGACTATGATAATTGAAACTACACATAATTACTATAACATATAAATCAAGACATCGGACATAGACTTGAGATTTTCAGAAATGGCCATTCTGCATTCGTAAATGATACTCAACATATTGGTCATATTTCGACCTCGTGAAACTCTTAACCAACACCTACCTCTAAATGGACAAATGTTTCTTTCGTAAGTATGCGGGGAACCCAGGGGATAAACCAATAGAGGAAACACCACAACCAGTGCATATCATTCCCTTCTGCCTGTCATCCGCAGCCCTTCAATAAGTTAGCATTGATGGAAAATGTATAAATTGCCACTTTCATCACTTTTAAGTGGTTTTGTCATTTTCATATTCCAGGAGAAAGTTTTCTGAAGCTTGCACTTAACTGTATATAACATGCCTATTTATCAAAAGACATTTGTTCTATAAAGATAATTTAGCACCTCTCATTACAGGATAAGAGTATGACAATATTTTGGTTTCTGGATGAGTTGAGTCCTTTCGCCCAACAGAAATGCTTGCAAAACAAGACTTTTCATTCTTTCACTTAGTTCAAAATAAGTTCAACAAACTGTATGTTCAAAAGTGTAATTCATTCTAGATTTTCATAGACCTCCTTCATCACAACATTTTGTTTTGTTTATGTTTGTTGTCATTCAGGAAGAAATCATGGATCCAGAGACTGTTGAGAACAAAGGTCCCATTAAACCATTGTTTTCTGTCAAGGTTCCAGATGCTGTGAAGAATGGAGAGATTCTACAGTTTAACATTAAAGTCCTCAAGGTGAATTATAAATGAAAGTGCATTATGATAATTGCATACAAGTTTAACTGAATAAAATTTGGTTCTCAGAAATGCTATTGTTATATTATACTAATTTAATCAGTTTCAGTTTAAAAGGAGAGGGTCAGTATGGTTCCATGGGTTCATTTACTGTTGGACAGGTGGTGGAGCAATGTTTTCCCTGTTTTAGAAACTGTTATATTAATACATCAACAGTAATGTCAATCATTTGCTGCCCAATCACTAGTCGTCAAATTTCACCTTTTCACTTACTATTCATTCATGTTCACCAGATGCAAAGGGATGGCTCTTATCCCCCCGCTCTGGTAATTTTGGCACAGTCTGTTTGGTTTGTTGTCGGAGTTAGGCCATGTCTCTGCAACAGACAGATGCACTGCATAACTTGGGATGTTCTTTGGTCTGATGCTGTCACTCCAATGTATTTATAAAGCAATTCTGAAGTAATAAAAGTATCATGTGATGTCAGTCTTCCATGTATATATACTTATGTTTTTGAAATTGGAAAAGACATGCTTTATTGTATATATTTTTGTTGTAGCATGGATTATTGATTGGGAAGTGTCAATTGGTTAAGATGTGCATTTGATGTTTGTAGACAGATACAGATGAGGAGATATGTACAGTATCCAGACAGTACGAGGATTTAGAATGGCTACAACACTGTCTCATGACAGAGAATGAGATCAGTGGTCTAATTGTAAGTGACATTGTGGTTATTTATATGAAGTCTAGTCGTCTTTTAATGATAAAATCCCATTTTTTTGGGTTTTTTTGAGAAATTTCAGAGAAATAAAATATTTGGAATTGAAATGAAATTTTACATGGAATCTTACAGTGAAGAACAATTGAAAATATAGATATGTTATCAGTTAACACTGGATTCAGATTGTGGAGAGAGAAAAAATGAAAATCAGATTTTAAAAAGTATAAATACTGGTGTATCAATTTCAGTTACCTCCATTACCAGCCAGACCGGAAACAGATGCGAAAGCTGCAGAGAAAAACACAAAGAAACAGCTTGGAACTTCAACAAATGTTCTCATGGCTGACGAGTTCCACAGTCACTGTCACAGTGTAGAAAAGTAGAGTTAAAAATATACTTCTAACTGTAGTGCAATTTAATATGATGTATCAATGTAAACCATTTTTAAGTAGGTGCTTCACAAAACCATGGCTATCAGATGCATAATTTCTTTTTTCATAGAAAGCAATCTTGTATGCATTGAATGTATGGGAAAACCATTTATCCAATCCTTGTTATGGAATGGCACTGAAAGAAGTCAGATTTTGATTGCAGTTATATAATACTTCATACATTGTAGCTAAATGAACTATGTTCTAAACTCCAACTTTTGCTTAGTAAATAGATAGCAAAGAATAATCTATGTAAACAGTAAATAAAATGACTGACTGTAAGTATATCTTCTGTCCCTCCTAGGTACCTGGTGTTGGTGTTGGAACATGAAGTTTTAGGGAGAGACAAAGAAACACTTAGCAATTTTTTATGTCAACAAGAGGTGAGTATTAAGGTCCAAATTTTGTAAGTGTATGGGATATGGATATTCTAATTGGGGTGTTAGATTATATATTTGAGTATATAATACCAACCAAGAGCCACACAATCTCTTTATAACAATGGTATGAGATCATTTCTTCTGGTAACAAGATGGAGTCAGTCACTGATGGCTAGATCATTATAAGCTGGCAAGCAATGTTTTGACAGGCTGCTGTTACGTCATAATGTAACATTGTCACCTTATTGGTAATGGTAAAAGGTCACCAAGTGCACCATGTGGGGTAGAGTTTTCTCTTACCTTGGGGATGAGACGGTGGGGATTCTCCTTTCAGGACAACGATGTGATGTCACAGTAATAATTCACTGACGTCACGTCAACAAATAAATCATATTAACAATATGAAACATTTGGACAACAAAAACACTTACGAGTAACGCCAGCAGAGTTGACAATGAAAGGTGTGGTAGATAACACTCTCCTTACCAAGATGGGTACAAATGAGTGATTGTTCCCGTTCCAGGTCTGAGTGGCTGATTCCCAAATCAGATCTGAATCGTGGTTCATGTCAGGGATTGCCTGACCAACAGCACAGGTTTTCCCTGTGACTTAAGTTGCCTTTCATCTTTGCCATATGCTACAATCTTAGCAGACAATAATTATTATGTGTGTTGGTAAATCTTTGTTTCAGTATTAATGTGAAAATAGATAAACTTTATTATAGTGTGTAGATCTTTTGGTTTGATGAATTTTCAAGGAAGATTCAAATTAATTTCAGATTTTATTTCTGTAGAAGAATAATGAAGTAAATATTCCAAATTTCACTATTAATGAAAACTTTAAATTCTACCTAAGTCGAATGTTTGTATCCTAAGTGTATACTTTATCAAAGGTTATTCATCCTAGATTTATGTCTGATGAATGTTTGTATCCTAAGTGCATACTTTATCAAAGATTATTATCCTAGATTTATATCTGATGAATGTTTGTTTGCATACTTTATCTAGATTTATATCTGATGAAGTGTATCCATACTTTATCAAAGATTATTCATCCTAGATTTATATCTGATGAATGTTTGTATCCTAAGTGCATACTTTATCAAAGATTATTCATCCTAGATTTATATCTGATGAATGTTTGTATCCTAAGTGCATACTTTATCAAAGATGATTATAGATTTATATCTGATGAATGTTTGTATCCTAAGTGCATACTTTATCAAAGATGATTCATCCTAGATTTATATCTGATGAATGTTTGTATCCTAAGTGCATACTTTATCAAAGATTATTCATCCTAGATTTATATCTGATGAATGTTTGTATCCTAAGTGCATACTTTATCAAAGATGATTCATCCTAGATTTATATCTGATGAATGTTTGTATCCTAAGTGCATACTTTATCAAAGATGATTCATCCTAGATTTATGTCTGATGTATGTTTGTATCCTAAGTGCATACTTTATTCATCCTAGATTTATATCTGATGTATCCTAATGTTTGTATCTAGATTTATATCTGATGAATGTTTGCATACTTTATCAAAGATGATTCATCCTAGATTTATGTCTGATGTATGTTTGTATCCTAAGTGCATACTTTATCAAAGATGATTCATCCTAGATTTATGTCTGATGTATGTTTGTATCCTAAGTGCATACTTTATCAAAGGTTACACATCCTAGATTTATATCTGATGAATGTTTGTAGGCACCGATCCGAGCCAAACTGAAAAGAGGGATCATGAGTCGACTGTCCTCAGTCGTAGAGGAAGCAAGGAAAGGCCAACACAGGGTTAGTACTAGACTGATGTATGTAACAGAACTCATATTTATTTCACTGTCTCTGTAAGGATTTGTCAATAGTATTTACCAAGGGTTATTACTCCTTCTTTAGAAAATAACTCATCATGTAGTTTCCAGGGTTACAGTGATGCTTGCGGAGAAAGGCAAAATATTTCTGTCAATACTTTCCAGATATATACATGGATGCCAAAAAACACCATGGTCATTATTAATTCCAGTGTGGTATAGTGAAAATTAATTGAGGTCAAAATAACAAGATTGTGAAGTGAACAACAGTTCATTACACCATTATAAAGTTTCTATATGTTGTTTGTAGAACAATTATTGAGAAATTCATCACGGCACAAATTTGTGCAGTAAAATTACATTACATCAAATTAAGTCCCTTCATAAAGGTAAAGGTAATCGTGATAAAGTCTACTTGTGGTTAGTTAGCTTTAGTTACATTGTAGTCAGACTTGAGTCAGATTTGAGTCAGACTTTAGTCAGGCTTGAGTCCGGCTTGAGTCAGTTTCTTGACGGGCTTGAGTAAGGTTTGAGTCAGGCTTGAATAAGCCATGTGTCGGGTTCAAGTAAGGTTTGAGTTAGTCTTGTCAGGGTAGAGTAAGCCTTGTGTCAGGTTTGAGTAAGGTTTGAGTAAAGTTTGGGTCAGACTTGTGTCAGGTTGAGTTAGGTTTGAGTCAGCCTTGTGTCAAGTCGTATCAGGCTTGAATTGACACATTGTTCTTTACTTCTACAGGATATAGATGAATTTTTCCACAAACAGAGGGAGTGGAGTACAGAGTATTCCAAGGGAGCCAAGGAAACCTCACAGGTATATGTACATATAGAATGGCCAGAACAGTTTTCATCTTTGACCTTCAGAGTGTATGCATCTGTCCAGATCACACAATACAGTCTTCAATTTTGTATCATTTGGAAAGGTCGTAAAACTTTCTCTAGTGAATTTTTATGAAAATATTCATACTTGTCAATGATAATCATTCCTCGAATGAGTATGTCAAGGTCAATGTCGAGGTCACAGCTACTATTTATAGAACTCTGTTAAACATTACTCACGGTTATATCTTTCATTGCAGAATTTTAACAGAATGTTGATAGCCCAAATAAGTAAGTAGAACGCTTATTCACAATCTCTTAATGGTCAGAATTGATAAAATACATTATATGTTGTCACAGTGTAGTATGAATCAGATGTAACTTGAAATGGAGATCCGAGGTACATGATCCAACTCACCATTACAAATTGTATTTCTCAGGAATCTGAGAAATGTACCGATCTGTGCTTATATGGCTGTATCCTAGGTCTAGACACTTTACCCTAATTGTTCTGAATGACATGGGATGGGCCTCCCGTATGTTGTTCATTGAGGAAGCCACCAGTTACTACAAGGACACATCATCTCAAAACAACTGTGGCTGTTTACAGAAAAATAAACTCTGCAAAAACTCTGTCATAACCAAAACAGGAGTTTTAATTTTGTCAGTTTCTGTGTGTGTAGGATCTATTACCTAAAATGACCTATCTTGACCACCTTCAGCCTTCTCTTCTTTCAGGATTGGCTGGTTGTTACGGACATTTAGCTACCTCAATGTCGGCCATGGATGTGTACCGAGACGCCACCTCTGTACAGATGAATATGTGAGTTGTCTTTTAGCTGCTATGGAACATGAGAGGTCAAAGGTTGATCTGGATTTTATAGGGATTATTTTTATTCGTTGTTGTAAGAACCAACATTTCATACAAGGCCACATTTTTTGTATTTACATAAACTTGTCTTCTGTTAAAATGTAATTGTTTGCACATAAATTGCGACTTATTCAACCCAGCTTCACCTTTTTCAAACTAATAAACAAAGTGGTTAAGGTAAATGATACACAAAAATCAAATGTCAAGGACATTTACTAACAAAGATATTTATATCACAACATATCTGTTATATGTTTTGTCTGTTTTGTTATGTGATAGCACCTGTTGTAATATCATAATCACGAAAATAGTAATGACTTAATGTCCAGTTTTGATATCTTAAAAAGGACAAAAGGACAAAAAAGGACTAACAATGGCTGAGGGAAAACAAAAATTTGTGATAATTAAATTGATATGAAATGTTGAGGACAATATCAAGGGATTTATTTAATTTGTTTACATTTAATTGTTTCAATAGATTTATGTTGTGATCAGGACTTTTGAATCATTACACATACATTTTAAGTTGTTGTTTAGCCGTAAAGCAATAAATGTATTTTCAGGCTACTTTCAAAGATAGCTGAAGGAATGGAAGACTATAAGGTTTGTAAGTTTTAAGTAATTTTCACAATTCATCGTTAATATTCTTACTCTTAAAAATATTCTCGAGCTTAAAATAATTTTAACTTTTCACTTCTTTGATGAAGTCTTGAAAAATTCTTTTGATTTAAAAGATTTTTCAGTTTTGTAAAATAAATTATTCATTAAAAAGTCATCTTATCTTTTTGTGCTTATTCCCCTTTTATAAGCATAGACTTTTAAAATTTTTACAGCGTGGTATGGAGGTATTATGTACCAATGACGAGAGGACCTTAGGGCGCATGTTAGACCTCTATGACCGTTACATGGACTCGGTCAAGGTTTGTCTCCACACATATTTCCTTAATAACAGACTTCAGTATGATGTGGTCTTCAAGCCAACAGGATTTTAATTTTTTTGCATTGAGATCTAGACTATGATTGTAAGCTGTTGGCCGACTCTTTGAGTACTTACACTTTTGACTTCACTTGTAATATCTATCATAATACACTACTGTTTTTAACTTCTCATATTTTAATGAATTTCTCTGTAAAATAAAGCGACTGAAATGAATTATAATTGAATTTTGTTTTAAGTCTGTACACTGAATCATTTTCACAGAAATCTGACAGTTTTCATCTTTACTGAATATAAATGGTATGTTTCAATGATTTATATTTCATATGACTGAAACCTTTATAAAGTGGACAATTCTGTGGTGATGTATTATTTTCATGTATTTCTAGGAAATGTTGTTCAGAAGAACGTCCCTATTGGTGACCTATGAAGATGCTTCAAAGGCATTAGAGAAAGCCAAACCTGTCAAAAAGGCAGCAGTAAGTTTGTGTTGATTAGATTATTTACTCATGATTCATCATACAAACTCTATACTAGAGACAATGGAGGTATGTGCTGAGGATATGATTATGTAAACTAATCCTAGGACACCAATCACTAGCTAATCCAAGGACACCAATCACCAGCTAATCCAAGGACACCAATCACCAGCTAATCCTAGGACACCAATCACTAGCTAATCCTAGGACACCTATCACTACCTAATCCAAGGACACCAATCACCAGCTAATCCTAGGACACCAATCACTAGCTAATCCTAGGACACCAATCACCAGCTTATCCTAGGACACCAATCACTACCTAATCCTAGGACACCAATCACTAGCTAATCCTAGGACACCAATCACTAGCTAATCCTAGGACACCAATCACCAGCTTATCCTAGGACACCAATCACTACCTAATCCTAGGACACTTATCACTACCTAATCCTAGGACACCAATCACCAGCTAATCCTAGGACACCAATCACTACCTAATCCTAGGACACCAATCACCAGCTTATCCTAGGACACCAATCACTACCTAATCCTAGGACACCTATCACTACCTAATCCTAGGACACCAATCACTAGCTAATCCTAGGACACCAATCACTAGCTAATCCTAGGACACCAATCACTAGCTAATCCAAGGACACCAATCACCAGCTAATCCTAGGACACCAATCACTAGCTAATCCTAGGACACCAATCACCAGCTTATCCTAGGACACCAATCACTACCTAATCCTAGGACACTTATCACTACCTAATCCTAGGACACCAATCACCAGCTAATCCTAGGACACCAATCACTAGCTAATCCTAGGACACCAATCACCAGCTTATCCTAGGACACCAATCACTACCTAATCCTAGGACACCTATCACTACCTAATCCTAGGACACCAATCACCAGCTAATCCTTGGACACCAATCACTACCTAATCCTTGGACACCAATCACTACCTAATCCTAGGACACCAATCACCAGCTAATCCTAGGACACCAATCACTAGCTAATCCTAGGACACCAATCACCAGCTTATCCTAGGACACCAATCACTACCTAATCCTAGGACACCTATCACTACATAATCCTAGGACACCAATCACCAGCTAATCCTAGGACACCAATCACTAGCTAATCCTAGGACACCAATCACCAGCTTATCCTAGGACACCAATCACTACCTAATCCTAGGACACCTATCACTACCTAATCCTAGGACACCAATCACCAGCTAATCCTTGGACACCAATCACTACCTAATCCTAGGACACCAATCACTACCTAATCCTAGGACACCAATCACCAGCTTATCCTAGGACACCTATCACTACCTAATCCTAGGACACTAATCACTACCTAATCCTAGGACACTAATCACCAGCTAATCCTAGGACACTAATCACTAGCTAATCCTAGGACACTAATCACCAGCTAATCCTAGGACATCAATCACTACCTAATCCTAGGACACCAATCACTAGCTAATCCTAGGACACCAATCACTACCTAATCCTAGGACACCAATCACCAGCTTATCCTAGGACACCTATCACCAGCTAATCCTAGGACACCAATCACTAGCTAATCCTAGGACACCAATCACCAGCTTATCCTAGGACACCAATCACTACCTAATCCTAGGACACCTATCACTACCTAATCCTAGGACACTAATCACTAGCTAATCCTAGGACACCAATCACCAGCTAATCCTAGGACACCTATCACTACTTAATCCTAGGACACTAATCACTAGCTAATCCTAGGACATCAATCACCAGCTAATCCTAGGACACCCAATCACCAGCTAATCCTCGGACACTAATCACTAGCTAATCCTCGGACATGAGTCTATCCCAGGACATCAATGATAAGTCTATCCTAGGACATCAATGATAAGTCTATCCTAGGACATCAATGATAAGTCTATCCTAGGACATCAATGATAAGCCTATCCTAGGACATCAATGATAAGCCTATCCTAGGACATCAATGATAAGCCTATCCTAGGACATCAATGATAAGTCTATCCTAGGACATCAATGATAAGTCTATCCTAGGACATCAATGATAAGTCTATCCTAGGACATCAATGATAAGTCTATCCTAGGACATCAATGATAAGTCTATCCTAGGACATCAATGATAGGTCTATCCTAGGACATCAATGATAAGCCTATCCTAGGACATCAATGATAAGCCTATCCTAGGACATCAATGATAAGCCTATCCTAGGACATCAATGATAAGCCTATCCTAGGACATCAATGATAAGCCTATCCTAGGACATCAATGATAAGCCTATCCTAGGACATCAATGATAAGCCTATCCTAGGACATCAATGATAAGTCTATCCTAGGACATCAATGATAAGTCTATCCTAGGACATCAATGATAAGTCTATCCTAGGACATCAATGATAGGCCTATCCTAGGACATCAATGATAAGTCTATCTTTGGAGATAAATGATTAGCGATTTTTAGGATGTCGATGATTATCTAATCCTTGAAGTTTGTCACTGTAGCAGATTCTAGGACATCACTCTATAGCAAATGATGTATTTGTCTTTTCAGGCTGAAGAAGCAAAGGCTTCATCTCGAAAGGCATATGAGTCCTGTTCAACAGTTGCTAAAAAAGAGGTAACGTCTTTAGTTCTACTCCAACTTGGTTCAGAATCTCTTCTTTATTTTATCCTTTTGTTTTTCTGCTATAAAGAGATAGTCACCCAAGGAGAATGTTGGAAAATTTCCAGAATTCTCAAAGGAATCACATTCTCACTTAGCTTTTGGGAGAAAAATGACATTTTCAAATTGTATTTTTGCAGTCATTTTATTCTTTTGAAATCTTGATTTTCAGTTGAAGTCTTTCATGCAACAGAGAATTATTTCATTTGAGGGTGGACTGTCATTGTTTGCTGAATGTCGAATCAAGACTGCACGAGACACGTATACCTTACTAGTCCGAACACTGAAAGCGGTGAAAGAGATGGACATATGACACTTATTCATCTTGGATTAGGATATATCTAAACCAATGCATGCCTTCTTTACTTGCCAAAACAACTTAAATATAAATATATGAAAGAGACTGTTTACATATACATTTATTTATAAATCATTATATTTTTGCTAGCAAAATTTCCCATTTGAAATGTAAACCCCACTACATGTGTGCCTCAATATATATTGAACATTTTGGAAATTCTTTATTTTGTAGTAAAGAAATGTTTTATTTCCATTTAGCATGAAATTTCTTTGGCCCAAGAAAAAGTCCAGAACTAAAGAGTACATATTACTAATTGAGTTCCTTCTAACAAACTTTAAAAAGCTATTTATACAATCTGTTTAAGATACACCTGTTTGTTGCGCTTTCTTTGGCCAAAGAAAAAGTCTAGAACTCGATAGTGCTAATTAATTTCCTTCTAATAAATTTGGAAAAACTATATATACAATTTGTTTAAGATTCATCTCTTTGTTGCAGAGAAATGATATCAATATTTCAATGATAATTTTTGCGATTTTTTGATATGTGTACAGTTTAACTCTTAAGATTGATATTTTGCATCACAATGGTAAATTGCATTCTGTTACAAAACTGCCCCTTCATTTGAAGAAGTGAATTATACCTTTGCATGAAAAATTATTTTTTCAAAAATGTATAAAAATCTTGGAATTGCAGAAGATTTATGAAGGATAAAGTAGGATATTATCATCAGTTTGAAGTAACTTTTATTATAAGAACCTTGCATTTTCCATGATGAGGGTAACCTTTGAGCATACCACATAGATTCAACACATATCTATTTTTAATATATATACCTCTGTTAATGAGAATGTTTGAAATTGAAACTTTACAAAATTAATTTTATACTTGCCAAACCAGTTTTACTTCCTGACACTGAATAATGGCCAGTCTATTCAGAGTGCTGATGAAATCCTTGATTTTTGGAATTACTTGATGTTTTAGGCTGTAGATAATTTCTCTGATTGTGATATACTGTATTAATGTCATATTAATCTCTGAAAAATGAGTTGTTACTGTAGTTTTGTATTATTGCTGTAAATTTCTGTAGATAAAATTGATAGGTTGTTTATCGGTTGTGTAAGAAAAAAGATCTAGGTAAGATGATGAAAGGATTTATCTTGCAATTATCCAGAGGGCCAACACATAACCTCGGATTCAGAATCAGGGAGGTAGACTTATGTCCAGTATTGAATTGCCAGTATTAATTTTGACCAAGGTTCTACTAAAGATTCAGTCTCTCGCTTTTTGCCAATAACTTCTGTGATACATGTGATTTAATTACTTGAATGGCCAAATGTGCAATATTTCTATACAAAAACTGAGAAATGTGTTTTCATTTTTATGATAAGGGACATTCCAGTTATTTTGCATCAAAATAGTATATATGTATATATTGATACATATAACATGTGACATAAGACCATTAAAACTATTACCATTATCTGTTGGAAGTGTTAACTTGTTTCAATGAGTTGATCAGAGACACAGTCTCCTGAACCTTCACAGCTAAATACAAAGTTTCTGAGCATTACAAGTATGCTACATGTCATTGACATGAAGCAACTTGGAACAGGAAACATGGGGTATTCCTCTCTTAGGATAAATAAGAGTTCTACAGAAGTAGATTGTTACCTGTACAGACAACTATGTAGGATTATAATGAAAAATTTTGTTTTAACAGATGATTCAAAATATGTTTGAAAGGTAACATCTCGGGTCGTGACATATACAGTATTTCGCTGGTAAAGTACTTTGTGAACATTTCATGAAAACGTAAACAATTCTCCATGAAAACCAATTCAAGTGATGCTTGATGTCTTGAATATAAAGATCTCGGTTTAATTCCAGCTTTAACAGGGATTTGGTTCCATAGATATCTGTATTCAGTTTCATGGGTTTTTTCTACAGAGGGTGTTGCACTGGGACCGTTTACCAGGTACAAACTTGAAACTTGGATGGAAGTTGAGAAGTGAAACATATAATAAATATAACCCTCCTCTCACCAATTCTCAAAATTATATTTGCAGAATATGAGAATTATTCATCTGAGAAATTAAAAGTAACGTATTTTCCATTGTCTCCTTTCACAACTAATGTCTTATGATAAATTCATATACATAAAATGAATTGCCATGCTGTAAATAAATTTGTCTCGATACAAACAAAAACAAAAAGGGTATAGAAAATGATCTTTTTAATATACAATTTCCATTATAGTACATAAATGGTCATAGATTACAGTGGTCCAATAGTTACAATTTAGGACCTGCTCCGGATCATTTAGAGCTCCTCATGAAGGTCAAGGTAAATTGACGGGCTGGTATTGGATTGCACATCATGTTTATAAAAAAGTGAAAGCTGAACTCAAACATTTACAAGTCACTTGCATAAGACTTGAGAAATGATAAATTCTTGAATTTAAGGAGTGAAACTGGCAAGGTTTCGTTAATATTGGGTTAAAGAAAAAAATGGTCAAAATTCCTATATCCTTGTCATATTGCACTTTAAAATTCATCACCAGACCTTGTAACTTGTTTTAGAGGATTAGTAGAAGGTTCATTAAAGCATGGATCTTGATGTATATCATAAAACTTTGCCTCTTATGATCTTGCATTGCATTTTTTTTTTAAATCAATAAATAACAACCCTATTAATGATTACTTTTTAAAATATAAGAAAACAGAAAAAAGGCATATAAGTTTACATTTAAACCTTCTAATTGCAAAAAGATATTGCATAGTTTCACGTCAAACTTGATGGCATTAGGAAAAAATACAAAAAAACATCTTGACTGTAATTGAGACATTCTGAGTAAATGTTAACATTGATGCTGTTATTTGGAAGACAATTTATAATATAATGTTCAAAATTTTTGGTTGACACAAATACATAATCTTTTGTAAAATGTTTCACAATTAAATAAGATTCATTTATAATTCAGTATCAGTAATGCTTGATTAACACCGTCAACTTTGTAAAAGTATACCTATCTTATAAAGATCTATTTAAACAGAAAATATCAATGGCAAAAAATGCATATTAATATCATCTAATACATTCAGGTACATGATGTATGAACACAGACTCGAATATGTTATAATATTGTCATTAAATATATACATAACCACTCCAGGCTTCAACAAAACCATACAATGCCTTCACAAGTGAAGATTTCATTATTTTTAATTGTATTTCTTAAAATAGATTTTCAGAAAAAAAATCATTTGATTTAAGTAACTTTCTGTTCATTTAGGCAAATTTCATGGATAAATATGTCAAATGGGTTTGACAGTAGGCTGGAAGTCTATATAAGTCTTCCTTAATAATCATTATGTTAAAATCATTCTGGTATTACAAAACCTACAACTTGTTTGAATTAGATCAAGATAAAATTACTTCAGTAAGTTAAATTTTGTTTTTCATAAAAATATTTTGTGGTATAAGTTAAAACAACATGAGACAGTAGTTGAAATTTATGCCTTATCAAGCTAATATCATTATCAACCAAACTAAACTGCCTCCAACTTAGTTAACAATCTATCAAGAATTAATATCAAAGATAAAAACAAAAACTTTTTAGTATCAGTGACGCATGATCACAAGCCAATCAGACATCCCACACAACCGAAACCAGGTAAAAAATATTCCTATACATAAATTACTAAAACAAACATTCACAGACATGTATAAACCAGAGGGACGGAATGATTTACCCCATACTTGACAAAACAAAACAGTTTCATACATAAATTTTATTTCCATTCATTGAAAATTTAAAATCATTTAAAATTGTGTCGTTAAAAGGTTTTTTTTTTTTTTCACGACTGCTAAGTTACTGTAATCTTTCTTTCAGTTTCAGGTCAGTATGGAAGAAAGTTTTGGTACTGAGATGGAATGACCCTTCCAAAAAAAAAATCTGATTTAGAACAGTAAAACATCACAGGTGTAGTATGAGAGCATCTAATTCAAATTCACGATAACATTATAGTTACACAGGTGTTCTCTTGTCAATGAACTTTCTCGTGAACATCAAATTTTCTTAATTGCAAGATTAAATCAAATTGAAAACCTGTCTAATTTTCAAAAATTTCTGGTGTCTAATGGGTTTGTTAATTACACCAGTATTTATGTAATAACAAACTATTTAATGAGTTTAATAAATGCCATTTTACATCAGTAAGAGTGCTAATCATGTAACCAGTATTTCTGAAAAATAAGTAAATGACTCAAATTAAGTTCCTTGCAAGACCAAATTATTTCCACATGGACACTACTAACAAAATCATGTGATGTCCTCAAGACACAACTTATTTATTGCGTAATTAATCATATGTCTTACGATATTTATCACATGACACAACATGCCAGTTATACGATACAACTTACTTCACCATAGAGAACTGATTTCTGATGTTTCCTGCTTAGCTGGTTTTTTAAACATAATATTACCGATAAATTGAATCTATTTTCTGATAAATTCTGAGTATGTAATATAAGATATATATATAAAACTTGACTTAACGATACAAATTTGAAATTGATTTAAAAGTCTACATTTTAAAACACCAGAGTACTCTGTCATATATAGTATATAAATTCACAACACAGACTAAACAATAATCCTGAAGTAACAATGATGAAACCTTGTTCCAAATAAATAAAATCTTTGGCAAAATGGATTTTAACAAAAACAAAATTCAGCACTAGGAATTTTATACATGAAATGGGCCCCAATCAAGCACAAGGGTCGTTGTCTGGGTCAGCATCGCCACAGCCAACTCCAGGCCCTGTAACCTGGACAGCGAATACTCGACCACTTGGCATACACACACAGAGTTTGTAGGCGTTGGCTGAAGAAGAGGAGGGAGGACTGGTTGCTCTTGGGAGGTTGCTGTCGAGGTACACTCCATTAGAGGCATCCATGATAACATTACCACTCTGTGAATATAGTACAGATTGACAGTGCTGATAATTTGTTAACATTTGGTAAAAGATTTTATAGCACCGTTGACACTCCATATATCTTAGTGTGTGACAAATATCTCCCACAATTACTTTTATACATAAGCAAACACTTTGTTTAAAAAAGATATGATCTGAGAATGATTTTGATTTTTTTATCAATCACAAGATTCACAACTGTATTATATATTTTGTGAATACATTTATTTATATTTATTTACCACATTTTAGGTTTTGAATAGTGTCGGTTGTAACGTATCAATGACAGGCAAAGCATTTGGAAGGGCAGAGCCCACCTAGGGAAGGCAGGACAATAAGGAGTTGGGTGAAGCTTATTTCACCTTATTTAGCATAATGAATCTGCAGTATCATAATAAAAAGTGAAAACTAGCATCAAAGTTACAAAGACGAGAGTTATTGAACTTCTGCAATGTATGCTCACATCTATATTAAAACCATGATTGCTCTGTTGAACAACGCAACTTTCTCAGGAAATTCAGAAATGGACCAGTCTTTTCCAAAGTGGTATTGTCCATTGACTAGATACTTCACCCTAATGTCTATGGATTAAATTTTACAAGCCTCCCATATATATATACATGTATGCTGTTTATAAACAGACCACCAACCACTATAAGGAGAACCCACTCCAAATGTCACCTTGATGATGCTCAGATGATTAATTCAGTAAACAAAAAACATCTCAGCAACACCAACTATGAAGTGGGTATTGCCTTTGCTAATGAGGTGGTCATGTGGAATATTGTCTATGCTAATGAGATACTTACCGTGGAGTGTAGTGTTATGTTGTTGGTGATGAGGTACATCTTGCCAAGGGAAGATAACTCTAATCCCTCCATACCTTTTATCTCTGTATTTTGGTAAGATTCTATATTCAGGCCGTCTATTCCTGACATACTTTCCAGCTAAAGCATAATTACATAAGGCGTATTATTATATCAGAGCATTATAGAACTAGGTATCAATTTTTAAATATTGTCAGCGGAATCCTCTCCTTCAACTTCATGATATTAAGTATCAAATATACAAATAAAGATATAGTGGAAATCAAATTTACAAACATAGTGGTGCACGAGTGTTTCCGGTGATTATCTCCACCTTCAAGAATGCACGTTTTTATCTGGAAAATGATAATTAACTTACTTGTCCCATAAACACAAGTGGAATTTTCACATACAATGTTTCATTAGAAGCATACAGAATCTGAAATCTGGTCCTTGATATGATTTCTCAAATAATTTTTTAAGAGAAGTTGGTCTCTTGCCTACAATTTATGTACATTAAGAAGTTACTAACCACAGGGACCTCCACTATAGGGGCGTGTATATTGACGCCTTGATTAGCAACGGATGGCCATTCTTGTACTGCTTCTAGACCTGTAGACAGGAGCATCTTCTCAGTGTCAGGACTCCACACCTTAAAGTCCTCAACAGACTTCACCTCTGTATTATCCGGCTGTAGTTCAACTGAAACAATACATCCTTCATGAAATTGTGATTTTAAAATATGACTCTGGATTTATGAGTTCTCATATCATAGTTCCTTGATATTTTGTTATACTGCATGTGTATAGCCAGAAATTAAAACTTAACATACTAATTTTGTATATCTCAGTCATCTGGACTCTTGTTAAATTTCATATTTTGATACCTCAGTACTCCAGAATCTTGCTTATTTTTATACCTCAGTCCTCTGGAATCTTGCTTATTTTGATCCCTAAGATTACATCTTCTAAACTCTTGTTTTACATTTCAGTCACATAGACGTTTTCTTTATACCTGTACCACCATCCTCTGGAGTCTTGATTTAAACTAGTCATTTCGATACCAAGAGGAAATTATCTCATGATAAATGCCCACTACATTCAACAGATTAAAGTTGGGTAGGAGATAAAGCTATGTCTGAAAGTTCTAGTCATATCTGGCACTGAAATAAGGAACAAAATTCAAAGTAGTATGGCTTTCATTCATACCTCTAGAAGCCTTTTCATTCAGCCCTTCTTCTGCATCAGCCATGAAAACAACCTGCATGAGTAATTAGCAAATATTAAAATAAAATTAAAAGTAGTTTTAAATCAGGTAATCAAATTAACAGATTTAGAAATTACATTACTTGCTAGTATTCTGAAGGTGTATATAATAGTTCATTGTCTCTATGACCTGGCTGTTAATAGGACGTGCATCACTGTAACTATATTAACACTTCCTAACTAAATGCTAACCAAGATTTTTCGTCCCAGAAATTCCAAGGGAAACGATCATTCAGGATCTCTTTATGTCTTTAAGGTAAACATTCCATGTACAAATATATACAATGTACAATTACCTCTTCATGAATACTGAACCAATGAATATATTATGGCAAACCAAAATAAGACAATCAATATAACATTGAATTTCAAGAATGAAGATTTTTATATATCTATGTTAAATAATATACCATGCAGAAATATATGTACAATGTAATTATCTATTCATGAACATTGAACAATGACTAGGTTATGTAAATTAAAAATAAGATAACCACTACAACTACTTTTTAAGTTCAGGAAATTCACAGTCACATAACAATTATCAAAAAATTGCCTAATATAGTCTAGGTTTAAACTTACTTGGCCATTATCATTTTGGAAAAGAAGTGAAGCATTTTTGCGGCTTCCAATAAATCCATCAAATATTTGAACAGTGGAAAGAGTTGTGTCAGAAAGAAAGCGAAGCAGTCTAGAATCTGGTATAAACTCCAATGACTGAACGCCAAAGTAAGAAAACTTCAGGGCATACATGATCCCAGCAGTTAGCTAAAAAGACAAAATAAATTATGAAAACAAAAGCTATCAGTTAAATAACAGGCCTTTTACATGTTCTTGTTCATATATATATACACGAGGGCTGATTGATAAGATGTGAACCATATATTAAATGGTTTGACTTTTGGCAGATATATTGCATTATTTTTCAATCTAATTCCCTTTAGTATCTATACACTTTTGCCAGCGATGGGCCTGAATGCTACTTTTAAGAAGTCCTTTTCTTAACCATTCAGAAAGTCCTCCACTGCCTGTATGATGTCATCATCTGACCGAAAGTAGGTCAATCTTGGAAATAGATAAAGTCTGATGGAGAGAGATCAGACAAATAAGGCAAATGCTCAATCAATTCAAAGCCACAACTGTTAATGGCAGCCATGGCAATGACAGACTTGTGGACAGGGGCATGGTCCTGTTGGAACAACACACTTTACCAAGTTTTCCACAGGGCTTGAGTTTACTAGTTTTCGTAACTGCCTAAGAAGTGATGCATAATATGTGCCATTGATTGTTTGCCCCTTTTGCAGATAATCTACCATCAGAATACCATCAGCATTTCAGAAAACCAAAGCCATAACCTTTCCAGTTGATGGAACAGTCTTTCCCTTTTCTGGCAGGGGTTAACTGGGGTGAAATAATGGACCAACATTTCATCCTTAGTCACAAACCTCTGCAGAATGTTAGCAGGATCTGCCTTTAAAAGGAACGCATAAACACGCAATGAAATCCCCCTGATGTGCTTCTGATCAACTGTCAGAAGTCTTGGTACCCAATGGACTGAGAGCTTTCTCATTGAAAGCTGTTCCATAAGAAATGAATTTACTCTCTCCTGTGTATACCAACTGTACTGACTATATATCTCTTATGTAACTCGCCTGTCAGCCATAACAATATCTTGGATTTTATTGACCACCTCTGAGGTTTCAACAGACAGGCCTTCCAAGGCAAGCATCATCCCAAAGGCTCTGCCTGCCATGCTTAAATTCTGCCACCCATCTTTTCACTGTAGCATTATGGAGGTGCATCATTCCCTGGTGTTGCTACCATATCAGTATGGATATCCTTAGATGTCAGACCTTTCTTATGCAAATATTGAATCACTGTTCTCTCAGTGATTTTGTCCATTTTGCAAAAGTCACTTGCCTTATTTACTTTAAAGTGCTACCTGTTCAACATAACTGGCCAAATGACAACAGTCTGTGGCTACACAGCCTTAAATAGTCAGAGAATAGTATTAAATGAAAAAGGACATCTCTGTTTAACTTCTTCAATACAAGGCTCACAGCTGATCAATTTGCCCTCCTATATACCGGTATATTTAATCGCAACCAACAGATATAAAAATTTCATTCCTCCTTATAATCATGTGAAAACTGGGCCATTTCTACTAAACAGTAAAACATTAAATTTACTACTTTCTTTTTTTGTCAACAAAAATACAAAATATAATTACCAATGCATTGGCACATGCCAGAAGAATAAGGAAAGTAACAACACAGTAGAGAAAATATCTCTTCCTGCCTCGGATGCCAGTCTTGTGGAGGTATGGTTCATTGATGTTGATGTAACCAGCTCTGAAGTTACTATTGTGTTCTCGGTTGATTCTCCTCTTCAGTGTTGACTTCTCTCTCATTGACATATTAGCTGCATCTCCTCTCTATTAAAATTTAAAAAAAAAAAAGAAAAAAAACATATGTACTGCTCAAGACATTATGTAAAATAAAACTTGTGATTTCATACTGCAATAGTATAAGTAAAACAGGATCAGCACTATTTCATTTCCCAATAAATTAATTATATATTGATGGATATGTCAAATTTTGACGGAATTGTGACCTTCATTTCATATAATTGTACATTGCTTTATTAATGCAAAACATGTAAAATTGATCAAACATGGAGGGTGTTATAATATCTGAGCAGAAACCTTAAAAACATATATTTGATTATATAAAGGTTTTTTCTTTTTCTTTCCTTTTTTTATCCGATTTTTACCGACTTCAAAGTTTCCAATCACCACATTTGTAAGAGTTACCTCCCTCTTATAAGTCTATGACAATCAAACAAAATGAGTTTCCTTTTCCATACTCTGTTTCTGAAAAAATAGTTTGATGCATAACCAAACTGCTTAATGTAATTTTTCACGTACTCTGAAATACACGTGTTTCGTGTTTCAAAATTAGTATTTTTTGTCTGAAAGTCCAGTGATCACAACGAACTTTGATAACTGTTTTCGATTGTATTCTGAGATGCAGTAACGCTTTCATGTTTAAAAATAGGTTTTTTTCACAAATTATTATTAAAAAGACCCCTTTTACAATCAAATAAAAGTTGTGGATACTGCTTTAAATGAAATAAGGCAACTTTCAAACTTCTGAAAGTTTTGTACCCACCTCGTAAGGATCCATCTTGAATTTTACGGAACAGACGATTACTAGAGGAACGAAACGAAACGCTATGTGAAGTGGGTGCGTTTGTCGACGAATAGGTTCTACGCTCATCAGCTGGGATCCAAGTCCAGAAATTATTTTTCAAACCTAAGTGTTTTTTTCACAATGTTATGATTGAATATTGAAAAATATAATAAAAAAATCAAGTTCATAGAATATGCAAACACAGTCTTTCAGTCATTTTTCAACTAGTTTCGAAACCCAAGCATTTGCCATTTGGTACGTAGTGATATTTTCTTAATGCCAATAGCTTGTCCAGTATTGCTATTTGCTTATACATGTAACATTTTTTATGATTTTATTGTCGTATTTTCGTATTTTTTAACTTTAACTCCATATAAAAGCATTCAGATTGAATATTTTTTGTGACCTCAGAAGAAAAAGTTGGATCCATTGATGTCATGATACCCATCACATGAGTCAAAATACCAGAATATTACTTCATTACTGGTTTAAAAATAATCTTATCTGCTTACACGCGTTTAACTCTTCATATTAAGCCTCTCGCGTTTTTAGCTCCCCAGAGGCTGATATACCAAAAATCTTGATCTCTTCATTAAAATTCAGATGAAGATCGACTAATTTCTAGAAGAAAGGAAAGTAATAAGAAATAATGGATAAGTGAAAAACAACACTTTATATTTCGGACCTAAAATCTGCAAAAAATCTACACAAATTTAAGTGTTGTTTTAAAAAGAAGTCCCTCCTTACTTTGTTTCATGTCTCGAAATAATTAAAATTACATTTATCTGTTATATTTTCTCATTGCTTTCTTACGTAAGAGAGTTATAGCAAAACGTTAATTACAGGGTGTGCTTTTAGTGAAACTGCCTGTCTCTGACGTAATATTGCATGTCTTAGGTCACATGCGTTGTAATCTGATTTAGCTGACATGGTCTTAGATGAACCGACACGGACATAAAATTGCATGTATTTTGATCTCATTCGACAGTGAAAATTCTCCAGTGGATTGAAATGCACCATAAATCATCTTTAACTTTGCTGACATGCATCATTTTATTTCCAGTGATATATGTATAAATCCTCGCTACTAATGATTTATTTCTAGAAATCACGGAGACCTATATAAATATACACTCGGACATATTTAAGTCTCGTGAGATTTAACTTTTTATTTTGAAAAAAAATAGTACAGAACTTTGCATTAGAGACATACAATAAAGTATGGAATACCGTTCATGAAAAACGAATGATATCGCGCGAAGCGCAGTTTGTGTTCAAAATCGTTTGGTCACGTACAAGCTAACGTTAAATTGCTGCTGTGAATTTTGAAATCAAATTGTTCTTCCTTTCTAATTACAGACATGTCTACTTGTCCTAACTTTTGCATTTTCTGAGTGGCTTCTTTTCAAACATGCGTCTTCCCGTTAGTTAAAAAAAATCGGCATCAAAACCACATTCTGATCACTGTGAGTTAATGCCTTCCGTTTCACTCTGTCGTAATGGTATAGCGAAAAGCTTGACACCCGATGGGGCCGAAAACATCAAGACTATTCACGATTGCAAAATTGAACTGTCGGAGAAAACTAAAGCTAGTAATCATATTTCGGTAGATTCCGTACCTGTATCTAGATGAATGGTGCCGCAATCAGCCGAGGATAGCTGAATAGCTGGGAATCTATCCTATTCTTAATAATAAAAAGCGCAACATATGGAGAAAATTTACCAAAAATGGTAAACCAGTATACCGTTTTGTTTTTATGTTTTTTTTTGTTTTTATTTGTTTTTTGTTTATTTTTTTTTAATTTCTCGCCCGGATGGAGACTGCAAATATCAATGACAAATATCGTTTTTTTTCTTACGGAATATTCCGTCATACACGTGAACTTTATATGACAAATTAATATGAAAACATTAAATTCACGTCTAGTACGCTTACATTGCTCTATTGTATGGTTACGCTATGAGTAATGTTTTCACCTTGTCCGCGGTTGAATATGTAAATATCTCACTTATCCCTATTTGTGATTAATTGAACATAATTCAGGATCATGCAGAAAAATGGTTAAGAATTTATTTAATCCTAATTCCGAAGTAGGTGAATAAGGGAAAATTGAAGTCCATATTTGGTATTGTTTACCAACAAATGTGACTCATGCAAATCGATATTCAGCATCTACGCTTCTTTTGGAGCGTTTCCATTGGTCGTCAGCGCGGTAGGCTATCCCATGCTATTTTTAGCATATTATCGATCTATTACTCATTTCCGAAGTTCTTCTATTTCTGGAGGATTTCTTGTTCGGGAAAAAAACATCAACAAAGCAACAATTAGTCATTGTTATACGACTCAACTTTTGTACATTTCGCAATAAGGATGAGGCATTCCGCCGTACCATGATTTACCTATAAAGTTATCAGCACTGACGACTTTCTCAGTTTAGAAGACCTGCGGACAAGAGTACCCATCCAAAGACTAATATCCGTGTATTTAAGTAGATTTTTTTCACTTTTTAATATAATAACGTCAAATAATTTCAATATCAAAAAACTTTTTCAAGGTTTTTTTTTTCGTCGAAGACAAATTCGTCTATTGGAAAGAAGAAACACAAAAAAATCGTTTGCTGGTGGATTTATATTCTTGTAAGTAATTTATAAACATGACAACAACTACCAGCTCTGCCTAAAATACTTCAAACGCATGAAGGCCTATTATTTTGCTTCTCATTTTCAGCCCAGAAGAAACGATGCCTCGTGTTGTGTCCATGATTAGCTCCCTGTCGAGCCCCTTTCTGGTCCCTCCGTGAGTCGGGATATTGGCGCACTCCCCCTTCCCCTTCTCACCCTCCGCGCGGCTCGCTGACTGAAAATTAAATACAAAACCTTGTGGTACGTCTGTGCTGGAGTCAGAGCGCTAAACGTGACTCGGAGAGCACAGAGCCAAGCTGTGTGTACAACGGTCGTTTTTACGCATGGATGATTAAATATACGTGCTACTTTACACACGGAGAGCCCGGAATTTATTATCGGAGTAAAATGGAATTATTATCACAAAGGAAATTTGAAATATTTTGTAAATATATATAAGTGTATTTCTAACAAAATAAAAAAAAATGTCATGAGTGATTTTTCTGTTTCACAAATTTAATCAAAACCAGTTGATACAAAGTGCTTTTGTAGCTGTGGATGTTTTCTAAAACAACAATTCGTCATGAATATTGGAAAGGAGCAGAATAATGTGGACGACAATCGGAATAACTTTAACCATGTTGGAGTATTCATGCCGGAATCGGATTCGGGGGACGATTCCGAGCCCACCTACCGGGCATATAGTGATAATGTGGATACTGATGTGAGTAACACACAGGATGAGGGGGATGCCCCCTCACCTCCCGCCCCTCGGGCTGATAGGAGGGTACCCGTAGTGCCCCTCAATAACCTCAACATGCTGACCAGTAGTGATTCGGACAGTTGCACGGACGCCGAGTTTCTCGGCGGGCAGACGACAGATGACACCAGTAGCACATCGGAGTCCGAGGAAACTCAAATGTAAGTAACTTTAAAGTAGAATTATATTATGTGAACTTGTTACTATGAAGGACGTGTTTTGAACAAGTTTATAGGCCATGAAAGAGAATGATTGAAGACACAGCCTCATGGGTTTGGCACTTTTTGTTTAGTTGACAATGGACGCTGTTCGCCTTTCATGTTTGACCGTTATACATCGGGTTCAGGCTATTTGAAGACTTGATGGACGATATGCTGTCCATAGAAACACAAAAATGTTGAAATATTTATAACATTTTTCAAGCCAGGGCGTGAAATTGACCTTTGGTTCAACTTCTTTCTATAAAGTACACAATTTATAAATACGGTCACCAAGGCTATGTGTAACGAAACGGGTTGTGGTCCATTAAGAAATGTCATATAAAGGACATTTAATTGAATCACTCTGATGTTCATATTTCGGTGAACAAATTAACGCGTGTTTGTCTAGGCAGATCAGAGGAACTTATCTGTTATACGCAAACACTGGTAATGTTGTAAGTGGCGCGAAAGTCACTAACACACAACATAAAGAGAGCTCATAAATGACATCACACACACACACACACAGGCAGCCGGTCCAAAATACTGACACATTTGGCACCAGTTAGCCCCAGTAAGTTCATTATATTTAATTCCACCATTATTTTGTCATGCAGATAGCTTACTGTGTAGCACATGTTTAATTGATCACAGTCCGACATTCACTTGTCTGAAGCTTCTGTGTACAGTTAAACATCTATACATATTTCATGTATATCGAATTGACAAACAATGCAGGTTCATTTGATATATAGAATACATTGCCATATTACTGACAGCTGCCCTGTAACCTTTGTCCGCCGTCCCAAGCTACTGTATGTCAAGCACATCTGCTGAAAACACGATTTTTGAGAGTTGGAAATAATTCGACTTTCTAAAATATTATTTTTTAAAAGCTCGACGTCTGAAAAAAAATTTCGAATGTAAAATTTTCTTTGCTGAATGAAAATATTAATTTTACATCAGAATATATTTCACAGGAAGCTAACCATACTGCGTGAATTCCTTATACAAATAGTAAACAATAGCATTACTAGCCAAGTCGACCTTCAACTGATAACGACGTCGCATCACAAAAGGGCAGTTAGACCCTTTTAGGGGCCATCCGGGTAATTGAAAAGAATTATGTGAAAGCTGGAACCTTTTAGGGTTCATCAAGATAAGCCCGGAAGAAGTTTATTTGGAGAATTTAACAGCCTTGCTCGTGTCATAATGTGTTTGATTTGTGTTTGGTGTTATAATAGCGTTAGTTCTTCCCTGGCCTCGGGCGAGTTGATCGTCTATCATGATGGATTTTTGATTACTTTCTCTCCTTCCTGTGTGATGGACGTTCAGTGATAATCATGGCATTACGGAGATCTGGCAATCCATCGTTCTGTTTATTTGATTACGAAATCGTACATCAAAACAAA